GTTTTATTGTGACCTCTGTCCTTATTCATGTCAGTTTTTAAAACGTCATGAAAGAATTACTAATACTATTAACATGCACCACAAGTCCGTTGCTAACAGCAACAACAACAATAGATGTCATCCTTTTAAGTGTCATTAATGATTACATGCGTAGCAAAAGCAATAATAATAACATCAAATATAAGAAGAAACAAGACAGAGTACATGCAAAGTGCCCCAATTTTGCTACTGGTTTGGCTGAGGATCTTCACCAGAAAAAAGTTGCTTCAGACACCTCAATTCCCAAAGTCCAGTGTCTCACAGAGTTGAAAAGGACTACAAAGTCCATTTAATCCAACCCCATTCTGCTGCTTGGTCCATATTCCCCTATCCAACAGCACCTCTAGCCAAGATGTTTAGGTAGGATCCCCTTCCTTTCAAACTGAATGTATTTTTGTGTCCTTGTCTCTTTACTAGGAATCCCAAAGGCAATCTGCTTCTGCCAGGAAGACACATTTCACTCCACATTCTCTTGTCCAACAGCTTTTACAGCCAAGATGTTCCTCTCAATGTTTATTCAGAATCTCTTTCCTTTCAACTTGAATCTATTTATCTCTGGATAGAATCACAAAGTTGGGGCACCCAAGGTTCCTCTAGTTCAGGGGTCCTCAAACTTTTTAAACCGGGGGCCAGTTTACTGTCCCTCAGACCGATGGAGGGCCGGACTATAGTTTTTTTTTTTTTAAAAAAAATTAAAAAATTCCTTTGCACATTGCACATATCTTATTTTGCTGTGTGGAAGGGCCCTTAGAGGGGGTTCTTTCTAGCCCTCTTTAGGCAGTAATTCCAGGAGCAGAGAATGGGAAATCTTCCTATTTCTAGTCTGACCAAAAATCTGGCTACCAGTATTTAAAAAACTCTAAAATTATAACTGTAAATAAAGAACAACACTCAAACACAGGGGAACTCCAGACAAGAAACAATCAGGGCCAGCTAATCATCTCTCAACAAAGGATTCTCCCTAAAAACTGTCAGGCTATGAAATGGCAATCAAGGTGGCCAATTGAAACATTCATACCTACCTCCAACAGACAAGAGTTCTTTCTCCCACCCTGGATCTTCCACAATTTTCCTGGTTAAAGGTTTTCCTCTGACATGAAGTCCAGTCGTGTCTGACTCTGGGGTGTGTGCTCATCTACATTTCTAAGTCGAAGAGCCAGCGTTGTCCATAGACATCTCCAAGGTCATGTGGCCAGCATGACTGCATGTAGCGCCTGGGCAGCCTCCCTTGGCTGGCTCACGCTGTCCATCAGGCCTGAAGGATAGCTTGAGCCTGCCAAGGGAGGAGCAGGCCCGCGCGGCCTACTTGTGAGTAAAGCACCTCGCGAGGTGCTTTACTCGCAAGTAGACCACGCGGAGCAGCCTCCCTTGGCTGGCTCACGCTGTCCATCAGGCCTGACGGATAGCATGAGCCTGCCAAGGGGGGAGCAGGCCCTGCGCGGCCTACTTGCGAGTAGACCACGCGGAGCAGCCTCCCTTGGCTGGCTCACGCGGCCTACTTGTGAGTAAAGCACCTCGCGAGGTGCTTTACTCGCGAGTAGACCATGCGGAGCAGCCTCCCTTGGCTGGCTCACACTGTCCATCAGGCCAGATAGATAGCATGACCCTGCCAAGGGGGGAGCAGGCCCGCGCGGCCTACTTGCGAGTAGACCATGCGGAGCAGCCTCCCTTGGCTGGCTCACGCTGTCCATCAGGCCCAATGGTCAACGTGAGCCTGCCAAGGGAGGAGCAGGCGGGAGCAGGCCCACGCGGCCTACTTGTGAGTAAAGCACTTCGCGAGGTGCTTTACTCGTGAGTAGACCATGCGGAGCAGCCTCCCTTGGCTGGCTCACGCTGTCCATCGGGCCCCATGGACAGCGTGAGCCAGCCAACGGAGGGGCACTGTGTGGGGGGGGGGGCGCTCCTCCTCCGCGGGCCGGATCGGGGCCCTTGGCGGGCCGGAAGTGGCCCGCGGGCCGTAGTTTGGGGACCCCTGCTCTAGTTCATCCCTTCAGGTAAGAAGTCACCACTTGGCCCATATTCTTCTGTCCAATCTTACTTCTAGCCAAGATGTTTACATAGGATCGCATTCCTTTCAACTTGAAAACATCTCTATTAGGGATCCCAAAGACCACTTAGTTCGCGCTGCTTCTGCCAAGCAGGAAGACACATTTTACTTCACATTCTACTGTACAGCAGCTCTTACAGTCAAGATGCCTGTCCCTTTGTTTAGCAGAATCTCTTTCTTTTCAACTTCAGCCTATTTCTTCATGTCCTTGTCTCTGGATAGAATCACAAAGTTGGAAGGGACCTCCAAGGGCCATCTTTTCTCTTCAGCCAGGAAGACACATCTCACTCCATATTGTCTCATCCAACAGCTCATACAACCAAGATGCTCCTCACAATGTTCAGCCAGAATCTCTTTCCTTTCAACTTGAACCTATTTGTCTCTGAATAGAATCACAAAGTTGGAAGGGATCTCAAAAGGCCATCTAGTTCATTCTTTCCAGCAGGAAGTCACCACTGGGCCCATATTCCCTATCCAATAGCCAATATGTTTAAATACGACCTCTTTTCTTTGAAACTGAACCTATTTCCCTGTCTCCTTTCCCCTCTATTAGGGACTGTAAGAGCCATCTAGTCCAGACATGGGCAAACTTCAGACTAGGGCGGAAGTTTGCCCATGCCTGATCTAGTCCACCCTTTCAGCCAGGAAGCCCAGTGTGGAACACATCTCACCACACTAAAACAGTGGATGTGGCTCTTAATGAGAAATGCCGCATTATCACAGGGTGTCTGTGCCCTACACCACTGGAGAAATTACACTGCTTAGCCGGTATTGCACCACCTGACATCCGCCGGGAAGTAGCAGCCAATAGTGAAAGGACCAAGGCAGAGATATCTCCAGCTCATCCCCTGTTTGGGTATCAGCCAGCATGTCAACGACTTAAATCAAGAAATAGTTTTCTTAGATCTACAGAGACACTCGCTGGAACACCTCAGCAAGCGAGAGTCCAAAAGTGGCAGGCTCAAACCCAGAACCTCAATCCACGGGTGATACCAGATGAGAGACTCCCTCCTGGGCACACAGAAGACTGGGCGACTTGGAAAGCGCTGAATAGACTGCGCTCTGGCACCACGAGATGCAGAGCCAATCTTAAGAAATGGGGCTACAAAGTGGAATCCACGACATGCGAGTGTGGAGAAGAGCAAACCACAGACCACCTGCTGCAATGCAACCTGAGCCCTGCTACATGCACAATGGAGGACCTTCTTGCAGCAACACCAGAGGCACTCCAAGTGGCTAGATACTGGTCAAAGGACATTAAATCAACTACCAAGTTTGCAAAATTTGTGGGTTTTTTATCTGTTTGTTTGTTTTGTTCTGTTAGAAATGTAATACAATGGTATGGTTGCTGATGACACGATAAATAAATAATAGCCAGGAAGACACCACTCAGCCCATATTCTCCTCTCCCATAGTGTTTCTAACCATTATAATGTTTACGTAGAACCTCTGTCCTTCCAATCTGAACCCATTTCTTTTGTTTCAGGATAGAATCACAAAGTTGGAAGGGATCCGAAAAGACTATCTAGTCCAGGCATGGGAAAACCTGGCTCCTCCTGGTGTTTTGGACTTCAACTTACACTATTTCTAACAGCCTACCAGTTGTCGAAGGCTTTCATGGCCGGAATCACTGGGTTGTTGTAGGTTTTTCTGGGCTATATGGCCATGTTCTGGAGGCAATTTTTCTCCTGACGTTTCGCCTGCATCTATGGAAAGCATCCTCAGAGGTAGGGAGGTCTGAGGACCTCACTAACTCTGAGGATGCTTACCATAGATGCAGGCGAAACATCAGGAAAAAAATTGCCTCCAGAACATGACCATATAGCCCGGAAAAACCTACAACAACCCAGCCTACCAGTTGTTAGGCCTGGTGGGACTTTAAGTCCAAACCACCTGGAGGGAGGGTCCAAGTTTGCAGGACTTCCCTACTCGGCCCACATTCTCCTCTCCTACCGCACTTCTAGCCAAGATGTTAGGGGTGGGATCTCTTTCCTTTCAATTTGAACCCATTTCTTTGTGTCTTTTACCTCTGGAAAGAATCACCAAAGTTGGAAGGTACACCTAAGGGCCCTTTGGTCCATCTTTTCAGGTAGGAAGTCAGCACTCAGCTCATTTTCTCCTATCTAATGGCACTACTAGCCAAGATGAGTACATAGGATTGCTTTGCTTTCATCTTGAGAATATTTCTTTGTGTCTTGATCTCTGGATAGAATCACAAAGTTGGAAGGGATCCAAGGCCATCTAGCCCATCCCTTGAGGCAGGAATTCACCACTTGGCCATATTCTCATATCCAATTGCACTTCTAGCCAAGATGTTGAGGTAGGGACCTTTTTCCTATTCCATCTATTCTAGGCATGGGCAAACTGTTAGGAATGGTGGGAGTTTAAGTCCAAAACACTCGAAGGGAGGGCCGAAGTTTGCCCATGCCTGATCTAGTTCATCCTTTCAAGACTGGAATTCACAACTCAGTCCATGTTCTCCTATCCAGTCGCACTTCTAGCCAAGATGTTTAGGTTGGACCTCTTTCCTTTCATATTGAAGCTACTTCTCTGTGTCCTATTTTCTCTATTAGGGATCCCAAGGGCCATCTAGTCCATCCTTTCAGGCAGGAAGTCAGCACTCAGCCCATGTTCTCCTATCCAAAAGCACTTCTAGTTAACTTGTTTAGGTAGGACCTCTTTCCTTTCGATTGGAACCTATTTCTTTGTGTCTATATATCTGGATAGTTGGGACCCCCAAAGGCCATCTAGCCCAACCCCACGTTCGGGAGAATGTCATTCTCCCGAACGACATTCCTCCCGAAAGAGGGGCACTTGACCTGAAACAAAGGCCTCCTGACCCGCGTCAAGGCCTTCACACGGTGTGCCCCCCTTGAAGAACCCGGGTCTCCATGGCAACCAGGGCCTGGCTCACCTTCCCACCGTCTGGTTGGCCAGCTGCTTCATACGGTTGAACTGCTTCTTCATGGTGGCGGCGAAAGGGCTGCTTCCTTCCTTGCTTCCTTCTCGCCGCCCTCGGCCTCCGCCGCGGCTCTGCCTCCCTCTCGCTCCTCTCCCGCCCGGCTTCCCACCTCACCCTTCTCCGCCGGAAGCAGCAGCAGCCGCCGCCGCCTACGTCATTTCCGGCTCCAGCCCCCCCAGTAATGGTTGACTCAGAAGCCGAGGCAGCGGAGGCCACGTGACCAAAAGGGGCGTGGCCATAGATTCTTGGGACAGACTCACCGAGGCTATCCTTAGCCATACACGCGGTGACTGCACTTCCCTCGTTGCCTATTGGTTGTCCTCACTTGCTTGCGCCCGCCCCCTACAGCTGTCAAAACAAGCCCCCTCCAATGCAACTCCTCTCCTCTTTGATTTCGAGAGTGGCATCCCTTTCGACCAATAGGAACCGTGATCTGGGCGAGAGGTGGTCCTGGTGATATCCAATGGAAAACCGTTCTCTTTGACAGTGACATCCCTCTCAGCCAATAGAGAAAACGATCGGGGCAGGCGGGATCCTGGTGACTTTCAATGGAACTGCCTTTGAGATTGACATCCCTCTCAGCCAATAGAAAGGGAGGTGTTCCGGGTAACCTCCAATGGAAAAACCTGCTCCTGTCTTCCTTTGAGAATGACACCCCTTTCAGCCAATAGAGAGGACGGCCGGGGCAGGAAGAGTGTCGGCGACATCCAATGGAAAACCTCGCTTGTCTATTCCTTTGAGTGTGACATCCATCTTAGCCAATAGAAGAGCCGGAGGGGCGTGACGTGAGTCCCGCCGACGAAAACCCCCTCGCTGCTTTTGAGAGTGACATCCCTGTCGGCCAATAGCGGGAGCGATCGGGGCGGGCGGAGTTTCCAACGAGCTCCAATGAGGACGCGATTTTGGCTGCGGCCAATGGGCGTCGCTGTTACTGAGAGGTGGCGCCGTGAGGGAGGAAGGCCGGCAGGCAGGCAGGCAGGCAGGCAGGCAGGCAGGCAAGCGGGAGCGCTGCGGGGGAGCCCTTCCTTCCTTCCTTCGGAGATGGGCGTCCCGAAGCCCAGGCCGGCCTCCCCGCGCTGAGCCGACCCCGAGGGGCCATGGCCGTGGCCAGCACTTCCAGGGACCCCTTGGGCCCCGAGGTCAGCGACGAGGCCGTCCGGAGCACCTGCGACGACGCCTCCCAGTGCAAGCGGTGAGCCGAGGCCGGGAGGGAAGGAGAGGAGGAGGGCGGGCCGGCCTCAGATTGGCACGTGTATGCAGATGACACCCAACTGTACGACTCCTTTCCACCTGAACCTAAACCAATGCCTGTCATCAGTAACGAACTGGAGGAGGGTCAACACATTGAAACTCAAAACAGACACAACAGAGGTGCTCCTGCACAGTCGGAAGGCAGACCAGGGAATACGGCTTCAGTCCTCTTATACTCCGCATCGCCTCCTATCAGCCCTGAGATCATCAGGAGAGGCCCTGCCCTCAGTCCCACCATCCACGCAGGCATATGGTTGGTGGGAACGAGAGAGAAGGCCTTGGTGATTGTATGATAGCTGGGTCCCCCAGCTACAAGCATTACTCAGATGCCGGAAAGGCGGTTGTGAATAAGAGAAGGGATCACGTGGTCAAGAAACGGAGCGGAGTGAGAGCAGGGAGAGCAAGACACTGAGGGTGGGAATCTACTTCATAGTTGCATTTATTTATTTTGTATCAAAAGCATTGCATAAATTAGTATAAAACTGATAAAAATAGAAGGCACACAGGCGGCTAGATATCTTTTGACCAAAAACGGGCAACAGCATTGTCTGCAGCCTCCAACAATTCTTCCTCTGTACATGAGGCAAGGCATAGTGGACAAGCATACAGATGCAGAGTTGTCTGTTCTGCTCCACAGTCACACAAGGTGTGGGATTCTTTTAGGTAGTGCCACTTTTCCAGGTTGCCTTTTGATCTGCCCACTCCACTTCTGAGTCTGTTCAGGGACTTCCAAGTTGTCCATTCTTGGTTTGCCCCTGAAGGAAGACCCTGGGGCGGGGGGGCATCCAATTAGGATTTCCTGGTTTAGCTGCCCATAGGGATACTCTTGTCATTGCTGAGGGGACGCCAAGAGGAATGGGAGTTTTGATAAAGCTTTTCCTTGATTTGAGTCTGTTGGGAGGAGGCTGGTAGCCATGTAGTCGATGGCTTTCAGTGTTCAACCTTATTTCTCTCACATTTAGCAGCAACATCGGGGGGGGGGGGGCAATGCCAGCTAGCTTGTAGAGTTTATCAACAGGTGTAGGTTTAAGACATCCTGTGATTATTCTGCATGTTTCATTCAATGCTACGTTCACCTGTTTTGCGTGGGCAGACTTATGTCAAACAGGACAGGCATACTCGGCAGTTGAGTAAAACAAGGCCAGGGATGATGTTCTTATTAAATTTGGGTCTGCACCCCATGTGCTGCCAGTAAGTTTTCGCAGGATATTATTGCGTGCAGCTGCTTTGTGCTTGGTGTTCAAGCAGTGTTTCCTATATGCTAGTGTTCAATCTAAGGCGACACCGAGATATTTAGGATGGAAACAGTGTTCAAGCTCTTGACCTTCCCAGGTAACTTTCGGTTTCTTGTTGGCTTCACAGTTGTGTAGGTGGAAACCACACACTTGTGTCTTGGCAGGGTAAGGCTTCAGTTGGTTATCTTTGAAGTAGCCGGAGAAATCTTTCAAGGCATTAGTAAGCTGGATTTTAATTGTTTCAAAGTCTTTTGCTTGTGTTGTTAGGCCATGGTCATCAGCATATATAAAGCTCTTTGTGAGTAGTGGTTGTGGCTGATCGTTAGTAAAGATATTAAACAAGGTCGGTGCAAGAATGCTGCCTTGAAGTAAGCCATTCTCTTGCCTCCTCCATCTACTTTTCCTGCCTTGAAACTCCACATAGAAGCTACGGTTTTCTAGGAGAGTCTGGATAGTTTTTGTAAAATCATAGTCTCGTAGTTGCATTTGAAGGAAGGATAGAAAGGAGGGGAGGGTAAGGGTTTAGGGTAAGGGTTAAGGTTGGGGTTAGAGGTAAGGGTTAGGGTTTAGGGTAAGGGTTAGGGTTGGGGTTAGAGTTAGGGTTTAGGGTTACAGCTAACCCTAGCTGTAACCCTAACCGTAGCATTTTACCGTTAAAGAACTCTTACATTCCTTGTAAGCTGAGACAGCGTAATGCTCGTAGCAGGCGGACCCAGCTATCATACAATCACCCATCTCGGTGGTGGCCCCATAACAGGAAATGATCAGGTTGTGACGGGTAAAGTATATCATCTTAGACTTGACAACAGATACACAGCCTAAACACACAGACCTTTAGGATTTTTAATATAATTTTTCATGGACGACCTCACTGTCTTGAGGCTCAGGGAATTTTAGTGGAATATGTTGTATTTATTAACTTTGTTTATGGTTTATTTAATTTTGTTACCCGTTTATCAGTTTTATCTTGCATTTATATAATGTAATTTCTGTTGTTTTAATTATTGTTTGCTGCTTTGAGTCACCCATGGGAGAAAAGCAGGATAAAAATGAATAAATAAATAATTACACTCCTGGAGAGACAGCTCTGTAGTTTGAGGACTTAGCGCTGAACCTGGAGGCCCAGGTGTCGGTGGTGGCTGGGAGGGCATTCTTTGCACCATTCAAACTTGTGTGCCAACTGTACCTGTTCCTTGAGAAGCCAGATCTGGTCATGGTGGTCCATGCCTTAGTTGCATCCTGCCTGAATGACTGTAACGCATTCTCCATGGGACTGCCTCTGAAGAGTGCTCAGAAACTTCAACTAATACAAAGAGCGGCAGCCAGGTGGGTCACTTTGGCTGGCTACAGAGAGCAGACAACACTTCTGTTGCAGCAGCTCCACTGGCTGCCAGTCTGTTTCTGGCCTGGTGATGACCTTTAAAGCCCTAGACAGTTCAGGTCCAGACTATTTGGCAGAATGCATCCCCTTGTGCGAACCTGCCTTCCAGGCCCAGAGATCCCCTTCAGCAGAGGCCCTTCCTTCTCTCATTCCAACCCTTGTCACATGCTCAATTGCCCCTCCACACTTCCTTCTTCTTCCCAAGGAAGTAATAAGAATAAGAATAAGAATAAGAAGAAGAAGTCATCTTTATTTATATATTGCTTTTCTCCCTAACAGGACCCAAAGTGGCTCACAACATAATACAATCCAAATCAAAACACATTTAACATAAAATAGAAGACAAGAATCACACAAAGCATAATAACAACAAAAAAGCAAAGCATAATAACATCCAAAAATAAGATATAAATATAATAAATAATAAATATATATAATAAAATAAAGATATAAATAAATATAAATATATTATATATTTCCTGAACCATTTAGGGCTTTAAAAGTCAAAAGCAGCACATTGAATCAGGCTAGGAAATATATTGGCAGCCAGTGCAGGTTCTGTAACGGGTGTTTGTGTGTGTGGTACGCTCTTTATGATTCTATAAGAAAGGAGCACCTGGCTGCAGATTTTTGAACTAGTTAGAGTTTCCAGGCACTTTTCAATAGCCCCCTCCCTGCTGTCCTTTCTTCAGGCAGCAGGCTAAAACCTTTTTATTCAGGCCAGCTTATAAAGAAGAAGTTTTTTTAGATCATCAGGGGTTGCTGTGATTTTATATGCTTTTCATGATGTTTAATACTGTCTTAATACTTGTATATTTGTATATTTGCAGTTGTAATGCAATGCTTTTAGTTGAGAGCTGCTTTGGGTCTCCATATGGAGAGAAAAAGCAAGATATAAATACACATAATAATGATGATGATGATGATGATGATGATGATGTTCGTCGCCTCAAGTCCTCACCCGTGGGGAGAAAGGAGGGGTGTAAATAAAGTTAATAATAATATATCAGTCTCTTCCAAGTCAACGGTGGTGTCAAACTACTACTTCTCTGATGCCTCTCCCTTCATCACACCGGGAATTATATATCTCTCTTCCAAGCCAATGGAAAGGGAAGGGGGCCTCAAACTAAGCTCCCATTAAACTATTAAAAAAGCTGGGGAGTCATTTGGCTCTTTTCCAAGTCAGTAGTGTCCATCTACAAGTCCCATGACCGATAAGGATGCTGGGAGTTGTAGCTCTTTATCTCTTTAAGGTTGGCTGAAGTCTACCAACTACACCTGCCATGATAACTTTGGAAACACTAGGTGTTGCATCTCCCTTTCCTTCCAAGTCAGTGGGAGTCTCAGGCTCAATCTACCCTGCCATATAATCAGACAATCTGGATGCAGAAACAGGATTATATGACAGTATAGAGGAGGCCTCAAACTACCACTCTGATTATGCCTCACTGTGGGTTTGCTGCTTCATTTAGCATTCTGTTTCTGTGGTTATAACAGGGCCTTTCTTTCTTTCTCTCCATCAGGTACGCTGTCAACATGGGCTACTGGAAGGATCCTTACATACAATATTTTGTAAGGCAACCGAAAGAAAGGAAGGCACCAGAAATCAGTCGAGGTAAAATGCTTTGAGTAAAATGCCTTGGGGCGGGGGGGAAGCTGCATATGTTGTTTATTTGTTCAGTTGCTTCCGAATCTTCGTGACCTCATGGACCAGCCCACGCCAGAGCTCCCTGTCGGCCGTGGCCACCCCCAGCTCCTTCAAAGTCAAGCCAGTCACTTCAAGGATACCATCAGTGCCATAGCCACAAAAAAAAATGTGGGGAGGGGGGTTTTAAAAAAAAACAAATCATGAAGAGTAGTTCCATAACTACTCCATTAAGCCCCTCTTCCTTTTTACTTCCATTTTTACCAGCATCATTGTCTTCTCCAAGCTTTCTTGTCTTCTCATGTGGCCAAAGTACTTCATCTTTCCTTCTAATATCCTTCCCTTCAGTGAGCAGTTGGGCTTTATTATGGAGTATGGACTGGTTTGATCTTCTTGTGGTCCAAGGCGCTCTCAGAATTTTCCTCCAGCACCACAGTTCAAAAGCGCCTATCTTCTTTCGCTCAGCCTTCCTTATGGTCCAGCTCTTGCATGGATATAAATCAAGCTTATTATTATTAATACTGTATATACTCGAATATAAGCCAAGTTTTCAGCCCTTTTTTAGGTTAAAAAGGCCCCCCTCAGCTTATACTCAAGTCAAAATTATTTATTATTTTACTCTGCAATTATTATTATTTTATTACATGTATTACTTTACTCTATTTATTATTATTACATTTATTATTTTGCTCTATTGTTATTATTACATTTATTTTACTCAATTTTAGTATTACATTTATTATTTTATTCTATTGTTATTACATTTACATTATTTTACTCTATTATTTTATTACTTTTATTCTATTCTACTTATTATTACATTTATTGTTTTACTCCATTGTTACTGTTATTATTACATTTCCATTATTTAGTCTATTATTATTTTATTGCATTTATTATTTTATTCTCTTTATTATTATTGGAAGGATGCATATGCACATTTACATTCGAGAGATTAGAATAATGGTTTAATCAGAGTTGGACAGTTACCTTAAATTAGAAGTTTTATGTAAATATTCAAACACTTTTAACCTACTGATGCCTCAATTAATGTAATTTTATTGGTATCTATTATTGTTTTGAAATTTACCAGTAGCTGCTGCATTTCCCACCCTCGGCTTATACTTGAGTCAATACGTTTTCCCAGGTTTTTTGTAGTAAAATTAGGTGCCTTAGCTTATATTCGGGTTGGCTTATACTCAAGTATATATGGTAATTATTATTATTTATTACCCTCCTCAGCTCATAAAAGGTTATAACATTGCTAAAACACATAATCGTTTCAAAACACTGCAAATACACATTTAAAACCATATTTCCATTTTAGAGTTCTAGGTAAAGTAGAGAGGTATGTTTGTAATATTGATGGCTAGCATTCTGTCTAAATCACAGTTTCAAGGATTCTGTGAAACTATGATTTAGCAAGAATGCTGGCCATCAATATTACAAGCTTGTAATGATATTATAATTATATATTTATATTACATGTAATATTACTAATAATATTACGATATAGTGGTATGGTGCAATATAGCAATGTTTAATACTGATATTGTACTATGCTAATAATATAATATATTGTATGTAATATATATCTTGTAAGCTGCTCTGAGTCCCCTTCGGGGTGTGAAGGGCGGCATATAAATGCCGTAAATAAATAAATAATTTAGGCAATCACAATCTATGTACTCAGAAGTATTCTGACTTTTCTTTTCTTGTGTTTTTATGGCCAAAAAATGTTAAGTAAAAGTATGGGGGACGGGACATATGTGCCAGTAGGAAACTTGGACAAGTTTCTATTTTAGATTCTGACTTCCAGAATCCCAGGTTGATATAACTTTTCCAGGCTCTGGCCTCTTTGAAGGGAAGACAGGAGGGAAAGCGTCTCCTCCTTTATTTTGAAAGACAAACTAAGGATAAAAGTGCAAGTCAGCTACTTGCCATTATCTAAGTCCGGCATTATTGTTTTTCCTCTTAGGATATTATGCCCGTGTCGAAGGAGTTGGCCGTTTGCTAAAGGCTTTCTTACAGAGAACCCTGTGCAACTGCCAAATCATCAACCTTGGGGCTGGCATGGACACCCTTTTCTGGAAATTAAAGGTGAGTCAAGCCATGAGGAGAAGAAGCCAAAGGTATATATTCAAAATCTGCAAAACTCTCAAGTGACCCCTAGTGGCCCCTTGTGCTTCTTTTCTATGATTGATATATTGCAAATTCTTCTCTGTTTTGGGGAATATTGTGGGTGAAAGGAAGGTTTGTCTCCTTTGGATGAAGAGAGAGACATGTAATACATTTATTATTATTATTATTATTATTATTATTATTATTATTATTATTATTTGATACACAAGATTAGTACACAGCAAACAAGATCACTATGCTGGCTTTTGTATTTGATCAAACGTCAGACACTTCACAAGTGTCTAGGACTATGTGATGTATCTATGAATAATGCGTGCAGATCCGAGTAGGGTGGCCTTTTGTAGCTAACACATGGTAATTTTGTCAGTGCTGATTGTTTTTAAGTGCAGGCTAAGGTCTTTAGGCACTGCACCCAGTGTGATGGTGCTATTATTAGCAATATGGCTGCTTCTGCATTTTTTGCAAAACACGCACGCAAACATACAAAGCTTTCTTCGAATGTGCCAACCTTGGAATGGGTTGTTGTGAGTTTTCCAGGCTGTATGGCCATGTTCCAGAAGCATTATCTCCTAATGTTTTGCCTATCTCTATGGCAGGCATCCTCAGAGGTTGTGAGGTCTGTTGGAAATTAGGCAAGTGAGGTTTATATATGGTAGTATGGAGTGTGAAATCTATGCACGTTTCAGGAGCAGGTTGTTTGAGCAATGAGTGTTGCTCTTTATTTACTATCCCAATTTTAGAGGGGTTTTTTTTAAAATATATACTGTTAGCCAGATTTTGTTCATTTTCATGCTTTCCTCCTTTCTATTGATAAATAAATAAATAAAAAGCAGCACTAAAAAAACCAGAAGAATTCCAGTCAGGAAGCAATCAGGGCCAGCTAACACATCTCAACAAAGGATTCCTCAGACAGCAGTCATCCAGGTTTTGAATCTGCAAGGCCATTCAATGCTAATCAAAGTGGCCAATTGCAATATTCACACTTGCCTCAAGCAGACAAAGAGTTCTTTCTCCCATCCTGGACATTCCATAGATATATAAACCTCACTTGCCTAATTTCCAACAGACCTCACAACCTCTGAGGATGCCTGCCATAGCTGTGGGTGAAACATCAGGAAAGAATGCTTCTGGAACATGGCCATACAGCCCGAAAAACTCACAACAATCCAGTGATTCCAGCCATGAAAGCCTTTGACAAAACCTTGCAATGATTTTTAGGGAATAGAAGTCTTGCAAAGCTGAATTATTTGTTTCCACCAGCATCATCTTAAAAGTATGGAGTTTATGGATTTTTCTATCCTTTTCAGGATGAGGATCTGCTTCCTGAGAAATACTTTGAAATTGACTTTCCAACTATAGTCACAAGGAAAATCCACACCATCAAGTAAGTTCACACATTTGTGTTGCATTTCAGAGGAACATGTTTTGGTTTTTGTATTGAAATATACTACATTTAGAAGCTTAAAATGTGCAGTGCTCTCCCCTAAATTGTCATGTTAAGATGTGTAGTGGGCTAATGCCTGCCTGATTTTGTTAGATTTATCGAGATACAAATCAAAAGGTCTTCTTATTTTGTCACTGTTTGGGGAGCAAATCACACATTGCAGGCTTGCAGATCTGGACCAACTAAAAGGACCGGGGATATTTGTCAGCATTCTCTCAGGAGCCAAAAGTATACTTTTTTATCATAATTTCATTGTGAGTTGAAAAGCCCATGATGGAATAGTAAGAGAAGTAGGAAAGTAGGAGTAAATAAAAATAAACAAATGCAGTGTGTTTCTAAGTTTGTGGTTTGAACAGATCCACTGTGTGAGGATGGTGAAGTGACCCTGAATTGTTTTGCCTGTAACTGATCTGTTTTTAACTATGTTGTGCCACAAGAAGAGGTGGGTAAGAAATAAAAGTATTACCATTATTGGGTTGCTGTGGGTTTTCCGGGCTGTATGGCCATGTTCCAGAAGCATTCTTTCCTGATGTTTCGCCCACATCTATGGCAGGCATCCTCAGAGGTTGTGAGGAAAGAACTCTTGTTTGTTGGAGGCAAGTGTGAATGTTGCAGTTAGCCACTTTGATTAGCATTGCATGGCCTTGCAGCTTCAAAGCCTGGTTTATTGCTGCTGAGGGAATCCTTTGTTGAGAAGTGTTGGCTGGTCCTGATTGCTTCCTGACTGAAATTCTCCTGTTTTTGAGTATTGCTATTTATTTATTTATTTATTTATTTATTTATTTATTTATCAGCAGAAGGGAGGAAGCCATAAAAATGTACAAAATCTGGCTAACAGTATTAAAAATCCTCTAGAATTGGGACAATAAATAAAGAGCAACACTCATTGCTCAAACAACCTGCTCCCAAAACTTGCATAGATTTGACATTCCATACTACTATATATAAACTCCACTTGGGCAAAATATTAGGAGAGAATGCTTCTAGAACATGGCCATACAGCCCAGAAAACTCACAGCAACCCAGTGATTCCATCCATGAAAGCCTTCAACAACACATTACTATTATTGTTAGTAACTCTCTTGATCTCTTTAAAAGGAGACTCAAAGCAGTGCGCAATAAAATCAGAGTTCTGGAGAGACTTATTTTGCATAGAATTATGGCAAAAAATAGACCCATGTCTGATTCCACAGCAAGCTGGCTTCAGGAAAGGGGAAAGCTACACACCACAAGTGCTGAACCTGACTCAACACATAGAAGATGGCTTTGAAAGGCAGCAGATCACAGGAGCTGTCTTCATAGACCTGTCAGTGGCTTATGATACTGTAAACCATGCCTCCTCCTGAGAAAAATGTACAATATCACAAAGGACTACCACCTCACCCATCTCATAGGAAACCTGCTACAAAACAGGAGCTTTTTCGTTGAGTTCCAAGGCCAGAGAAGCAGATGGCGGAAACAGAAGAACGGCTTGCCTCAGGGGAGTGTGCTTGCTCCATCAATGTTCAACATTTACACAAATGACCAGCCATTGCCAGAAGGGACAGAGAGTTTCATCTATGCAGATGATCGTGCCATCACCGTTCAAGCAGGGAGCTTTGAAATGGTTGAACAGAAGCTCTCCAAAGCTCTAGGTGTTCTGACTGCCTATTACAGGGAAAACCAGCTGATTCCTAATCCATCTAAAACACAGACATGTGCTTTTCATCTTAAGAACAGACAAGCATCCTGAGCTCTCAGGACTACCTGAGAAGGAATCCCACCAGAGAATTGCAGCGCAACCAAATACCTGGGAGTCACTCTGGACCATTCTCTGACCTACAAGAAGCATTGCCTGAATATCAAGGAAAAAGTGGGTGCTAGAAACAATATCATACGAAAGCTGACTGGCACAACCTGGAGATCACAACCAGACACAGTGAAGACATCTGCCCTTGTGCTATGCTACTCTGCTGCTGAGTATGCATGCCCAGTGTGGAACACATCTCACCACACTAAAGCAGTGGATGTGGCTCTTAATGAGACATGCCGTATTATCATGGGGTTTCTGTGCCCTACACCACTGGAGAAATTACACTATCTAGCCGTTATTGCACCGTCTGACATCCACCGGGAAGTAGCAACCAATAGTGAAAGAACCAAGCCAGTGACATCTCCAGCCCATCTCCTGTTTGGATATCAGCCAGCATGCCAATTACTTAAATCAAGAAATATTTTTCTAAGATTTACAGATACACTTACTGGAACACCTCAGCAATATCCAGTCAAGTAATATCAAGTCCAAAAGTGGCAGACTAATGCCCAGAACCTCAATCAGTGGCTGATACCAAATGAGAGACTCCCCTCTGGGCACACAGAAAACTGGGTGACTTGGAAGGTGCTGAACAGACTGTGCTCTGGCACCATGAGATGCAGAGCCAACCTTAAGAAATGGGGCTACAAAATGGAACCCACGACATGCGAGTGTGGAGAAGAGCAAACCACAGACCACTTACTATAATGCAACCTGAGCCCTGCCACATGCACAATGGAGGACCTTCTTATAGCAACACCAGAGGCACTCCCAAGTGGCCAGATACTGGTCAAAGGACATTTAATAGAATGCCAAATTTGCAAACTCTGTGGTGTGTGTGTGTGTTTTTAATACAATACAACTGTTTGGTTTGCTCTTGACACAATAAATAAATAAAATTAAGTTTCTCATTGCCCAAGAACTGTCCCTTAGTTTCAGACCAGCAGGCCCATTTGGAAAACAGGATTGGGAGCATTTGTGTGCTCCTTTCTACCCCTTCCCCAGAAACTTTTTGTGTCCTTGGACCTTGAAGCCATCTCTGTCTCCTTCCAGCAGAGGGCAGTCTTGTCCTCAATGAGCTTGGCAGTTATTTTTTTGGGGGGGGGGCACTGATGGTCTGTGTGTGAGATGTCTCACTGACTCTTCTCTCCCTCTCTCCCCCCCCCCCCCCCCCCCCTTTCTTTCTTTTTTGCCCTCCTCTCTGCAGATCCAAGCCTGCCCTGTCAATACCAATCATGGAGAGCCATTCAGGGGAGTCTCTCTTTATAGGTGAGTCATTTGAAGGGAGAAAAAAGCCACAGAGTGGCATTTCCCCCCAAGACGCTGACTGTGCCTCCTTGCTCCTTTTTTTCTGCTGTGGGGGAGTATTGTTCATCTTTCAAATAATGGGAGAGAGGGAGGGAAGAGCCTTGAGCCTTTCCTTTGCCTTTCACCCACCCTTCCGTTCAGTACCCCTTGCTGAATTCTTCCGGCACCTTTGTGATCCTTAGCATTTTCTTCCTCGCCTCCCACCTGCTCTGTCTCACAAGTATAGCTCTGTGCCTCGCAACATGCAACCCACTGCTTTGGAAAGCAAACCTCTGAGTGTGAAAACAGCGTCAAGGCAGCCTCCTTTAAAAATAGCATGCAACCTTTTACCTGCTGCGATTCCCTGCGGCCCCGTCTGTACAAGGCAAAGGCGGCTTTGCCTGCCATTTTAGCCCCAAAGGATCTGACAGCAACCCCCATCACCCCCTCACCAATAAAGACTCATCAGTGGGGGATAAATGTGGCTTGAACCTCAGAGGGAGGTTACGTTTGTTTATAATGATATTGTGGCTTTAAAGATCTACTTGGAGGCTTTGTTGTGTGCTTTTCTAGATGTACTCGACTGTGTCGTGCCTCAATTCAAAAGGAAACATGGGCAATAGATTGTTGTTGTTGTTATCTGGTTGACCTGCCCACACTCTCATGAGGCTATCCTAGAAGCCTGCTTAGTTTTGATCTTGGGGAGGAATAGATGCAAAAGGCAAGAAGTAAAGGTGGCCATTTCACTTGGCACAAGGTTTCATGTTGATTTCATGTTTTTATTTAGACTATTTATAGCCTCAATTTCCGCCCCCAAAGCCTCCCAGAACAGTTTACAAGTCATGAATGGGCAGCCCCCTCCTTGCCTGCCTTCAGTCTTATACTCTGAAGGAGACGTGTAACACGAGGGAAAGTGGTTGGCAGTGAAGGATGAGGAAGAGGCCTAGCAGATGCTGGCTGCCCCCTTCCTCCCCCTCCTCCTCCTCCCCTGGCTGTCGCTTTTCTCCTTCTCCGCTTTCTTGATGGGTGCCTGCTGCTTCCCCTGACGAAATAGCCCCTGACACGGGCCTTGCCCTCCAGCGCCATGGCGGCTCCACAAGTGCCAAGTGGTTTGCTTTGCTCCGAGGCGGCCTTCCCCTTCCATCAAACACTTCTGCCAGTTCAGCAGTCAGGCAACCAGCTTTCCTCTCGAAGGGATAGTCTGGGCGCTTTGATAGCTGCTGCTTTTTCTAGTGAGTGCATTCCTTCTTCAATGGTGGGTCCCAACCCCAAATGGGATCTCCTTGGCTCAGTATTAAGGCCCCAGGAAATCTGGTCAAAGAGAAAGGCTTCTGAATGCAACCTATTTACACCAAGTATTGTTATTATTGTTAAGGGCGGTGCAGTGGGTTAAACTACTGAGCTGCTGAACTTGCTGATTGAAAGGTTGGCGGTTCAAATCCGGGAAGGGGGCTGAGCTTCTGCTGTTAGGCCCAGCTTCTACCAACATGCAAATGTGAGTAGATCAGTAGGTACCGCTCCGGCAAAAAGGTAACGGCTCTCCATGCAGTCATGTCGGCCACATGACCTAGGCGTCTATGGACAACGCCGGCTCTTTGGCTTGAGCACCACCCCCCAGAGTTAGATACATGAATTAAACATGAACAGTATTAAAAACAAACAGTTAAAACCAAAACCAAATCTGTAAGTAACAAAGTGCAGTGCTTACAGTGGACTCTGCATAGGATGTTTTCGCAACAAGCAAAATCAGCTTGTTTAGCAAGCCTTGCGAATGCTGATTTATTATCAGTTAATGTTTGATTTTTTTATATCTAATGTATATACTTACATTGTATACCTTGGGTCATATTAAAATTTCTCAGGCAAAAAGAGGTAACAAATAGAAACAGTTCAAGAAGCCCTACTCTAGAGGATTTTTTAGATGCTGAATAAGGAAGGAAGAAGTTAGCTTTCCTTTTGCTTCGTTAGCACTTTAATAGGGGAACAAGTTCCCCTTGGAATGCTGTGTTTTTTTTTACAAAAATTAAGTTGCATGCTTAAAACATGCATAGCTTTGCTAGCCTTTATTAATTTAACTTGATTTATAGTTTGTCCTTTTTCCCAGCAAAGGGGCTAAAGTGATTTATAACAAGGTTCAAATCAGTGAGTCCAAAATCTGGTGATAAAAAAGGTTCTTAAAATCTTATCATCTTGATGATAGAAAAGTAAAAGCTTTCCGAGTCAGTTCAGTCTGTAAACTGGTAATAGTTCCTGTTTTTGACCTGCAACTTCCAGAATCCGCCCACTTGCATAGCCACACTGGAAGGGGACTTTGGAGACTGTCATAGGTGAGAAAAGCCACAACTTTTCTTTGTTGCATTCCGGTTTCTTGGACGATGGAAATGTTCTATCTCAATGTCGTGTATTGTCAGATGTGTTTTATTATTGTTTAACATTGTGATTTCTCACTCACAGTTAGTTAACCAGTTAGTAAATGGCTTTCACTGGCCCTTTCCTTCCAGAGGGCCACAGCCTGGACTCCACCCACTATGCCATCATTGGCACAGACCTCCGCGAACTTCCGAAGCTAGAGGAAACACTGAAGAAATACAACCTGGACCCACAGTAAGAGAGTGGCTCAGGGGCACGTCTCCTTTTCAAACCCTCCTAGGAGTAGGCTGTTCATCTTTTAATTAATTTAATTAGTTTGCTTCTCTCCAACATGGTGTAATGTTTAAGAATAACCAAGACTGCAACAAGTGAGCTCCTAAACACTCATAAGTTTGTTTTATTTGGGGTGTATATGGAATTTTTATTATTATAAGCATAATAGGTTCCCAGGGCAGCCTCCCCAGAATTCCTAAATGGTGACCATCATAATTGTTCCTAGAAGGGAATCAGCAGCTTTTAAGTTTATTTCTGGCTTTGAGGATAATCCTCGCAGCTCAAAGAGAATTAAATGACCCCCTAGGCCTCTATAGAGGCCTAGGATAGTGTGATTTTAAATAATTGGTTTTAAGGTATTATTATGTTTTAATGATAGTTTTAATGCTTATGTTTTTATTATGTGTGTTTTTGGCATCTAATTGCTGTCTATATATGTAAGCCGCCTTGAGTCCCCTACGGGGTTCAGAAGGGCGGGGTATAAATACAGCAAATAAATCTATATAAATAAAAATGTAATGTTTGTTTGTAGGATTAACATAACTCAAAAACCACCGGGCAAATTGACACCAAATTTGGACACAATACACCATCACTCATAAAAACACTGAAAAACACAACAGAAGAGATTTAAAATCCAAAAAATAGCAATACATTACATTGCATGTGCAAAACCACATACATACACATAGACACAAATGTATATACACACACACATATACACACACACAAAACACATATACACACACTGGGCCACAGCAACGCATCACAGGGGACGGCTAGTAAATAATAAATAAATAAACTTCCTAGAACAGGTTGGAATTGTAAGACCCGTGATCCACATAAGTGATGCATAAAAAACATTGGAGTGAAAGTGAGGCCAATGTATCTCTCTCAAAGGTACATATTTGCCTATTTTAATACTATTTTCCTGCAGAGTGCTTGTGTTCAAACCAGAGTTTTTAAAAAGGGAAGTAGATAGAGAGTACTTAGGCATAAAAAGTCCAGTGGCAATTCACAGAAATCCAGGTAAGAAAGTGGAGAGAGGTACATTTCCTCCCCAAAGGGTTAGTCTTTGGGGCTGGAAGCCATGTCCCATGAGGCCCTCTGAATTCCAGGATTCTAGGACAGTTTCCCCCATGTGTTCCATTTCTCTTTTAGATATTGCCCTTACTAAAAGTGAGAGAAGATGATTCTCTCTTTCCATTCCCCAGCTGTATGTGTGAAAGGTGTGCCTTTGCCTTCTCTGTTCCCTGGGAGAAGCGCAAGGAAGACATCTCCCAGAGTGGCAGGGCAGCAAGGTGGGAGCTGCAGGCCGCTAGGGAATGGCTTTGTGGGCGGTGATGCTGCGAGCGGCACATGGAGCGTCACTGAGATGCCAAGCCTTTCATCACACCGCTACTCCTCCGCCACCCACACAGCACCCCCCCCCTCCCCAGCGCAGGCCTCCTTGGGCTCCTCAGCGTGCCAGGCGGGGGCCTTCGGTATTTAAAAATAGCCCTGCAGGCAAAAATTATTCAGATGTTTGCATCACGCCGTTTTGGGGTCGGGTGGGGATAGGGTTCCTGGATTGCAGGGCCGGCAAATGAAGGGCAAATAGCTGGCGAGGCCCTTCCTCTTGGCTTCTTTGGAAAATGCAGGGAAACTCTATATATCCCTAAGGCCCTTCTTCTTGCCCTTTTGGCTTCTTTGGAATGTGCAGGTAAACTCTATATCAGGCTAGGCTGTTAGAAATTGTGGAAGTTGAAGTCCAGAACACCTGGAGGACCGAAGTTCACCCATGCATTCTCTATATAATCCCGAGGCCCTTCCTCTTGGCATCTTTGGACTATAAAGGCAGTCTCTATATAACCCTAAAACCCTTCCTATGTGGTCTTGAAGCTCTTCCTCTTTCTTTGTCCTTGCACATCTTTGGTGAACTCTGTATGTTCCAGGGTGAAGTTAATCAAAAAATGCCCGGCCTCCCTCTCAGGAATATGTGGGAGTCTTTGTTCAAGATAGTTTGCTTCTCTAATGATCAAACAGGTTGAGATCCTTATGCCACTGTAAACGCACCTTCTAAGCTAAGCAGGGTCAAGCGTCATGGCTGGGCTGTTTCGAGTCTCCTTGTGGAGACAAAGTGGGGTATAAAGAAACATAACAAAAATAATAGAAATAATAATAACAATAATTGGAGAGGAGGGGAGAATACTAGAGACTCCTGACCGGACTACGAGTTAATAGTAGTAGTAGTAAGTAGTAGTAGTAGTAGCAGTAGTAGTAATAATAATATAATAATAATAGTGGTGATCGGCACACCGGGTGCAGTGCCTAAAGACCTTGGCCTGCACTTAAAAACAATTGGAGCTGACAAAATTATCATCTGTCAGCTGTAAAAGGCTCCCCTACTTGGATCTTCATGCATTATTCACTGATATATCACACAGTCCTAGACACTTGGGAAGTGTCTGATGTGTGATCAAATACAAAAGCCAGCATAGTGATCTTGTTTGCTGTGTACTAATCTTGTTATGTATCAATAATATAGTATTAATAATAATGATGATGATGATGATAATGTATTACCCATCTTTCCTTACCGCTCAAGGCGGGGTACAACAGGGTTAAAACCGTGAGATAAAACACAACACTATTAAAATGCATATAACACAAGATTACACCATGGAACTCGCTCTCTCAGAATTGGGTGGAAGCTTTTAAACAGAAGTTGAATGGCCGTCTGTCAGGGGTGCTTTGATTGTGCTTTTCCCGCCTGGCAGAAGGGGGCGTTGTCTGGATGGTCCTTGGGGTCTCTTCCAGCTCCATGAATCTATGATTCTATGCTTGTAATGCATATCTTTAAGCATTGCTTTTTGGACAACAACATAGGGTCCTTCCACGGGGTTGCATTTCTGGAGTGAGCTTGTCTGTGCACAAAGCTATGTTTTCTCCCTTGGGCTTCTGGGAAGCCTGAGTTTCAAAAGAGAAGAGAGTTTTTGTCTCTCCTAACCCCACCCTTCTCTCTTCCAAGGCTACCCACGCTCCTGATGGCCGAATGTGTGCTGGTTTACATGGCCCCCGAACACTCGGACGCTCTCCTCAAATGGGTAGCCGACGTCTTCCCAACCGCAATGTTCATAAACTACGAGCAGGTAGGCAAGTTTCCTGTGCTCTTCCTATGCCAGGCATCCCTGGTGCAGAGCTCCACCTGTGAGCGAAGGCGGAGATAGGATTACCAGAGCCATTAAGCCTTCTGGCCCGGTTTGGGTTCTGTGAGCACACAGCTTTCCAAAGGAACAAATGAAGATCCTCTGATAGCCGTGTTTGAATATTTGAAAGGATGCCATAAAGAAGCAGCAGTCAGATCTCAACTGAATGTTAGGAAGGACTTCCTGACAGTCAGAAGAGCAGTTCAGCAGTTGATCTCTCTGGCTCAGAGTTTGGGGGAGGCTTTGAAGCAGGGGTTGGATGGCCCTCTGACAGGAGGGTTTGGATTGTGTTATCCTGCCTGAAGGCAGGAAGGAGTTTTACCGGATGGCCCCTGGGGTCTCTTTTAACGCTATGATTCTATAATTGTGGATGTTTGCGTGCCTCTGTGTTTCCTCCCCTTTCCCCCAATGCGAGCTGCAAAGTGCCTATGTTATAGGTGTTAATAATAATGTTTTTTATTGGGAAGAGCAGTGGCTGAGTCAGAGGTGGCTGAACTCCCTCCACAAACGGCACACGGCGAGTGGTGTGTCTTATGTAACTTTATGAAATGTTAATCGCCTGGCGCTTCAGCAGCGTTGGCGGCTTTGCCAGCCTCACCGTGTGAAAAGCGGGATTGGCTAAATGGGGGCGGACTGAGGCCCTGATCCCCAGGATTGGTTGCTTCCCGGAAGACCATCTTTCATAGTCACTGAATTGATCCTGGTCGCGTTGTGTTCTCTTGCTGCTTGAACTTATTTCTCAATCATGTTTCTAAGCACTTGGTTTCCAAAGTGGGTTCATGGGTCCTCAACTATTGATTCTTATGCCTAACCTCTCAGTCTTTGTACAGAAAGATCTCTTAATTCCATTCTTTTATTCCTCTTGCTATGTTTTTAAACCCTTCAATGCTGTTCCAAATTAGGGTGCGTTAATAGGGTGTCTTATTTTAAATGAGTTTTTTTCTTTTTTGTTAACTTTATTATTAGAGTTTTATCTGTACTTTTCTAAAAGTCTCTGCTGTCAAAAGCCTGTCTTTGGGGAAAGGTGGAATATCAATTAACGAAGTCAATGAGTCCTTTGTTAAGAGAGCCCACGATCTGGAGAATGCCTTGCCTCCCTTGAATCGAGAAAATGTCAGTTTGCCTCTGGTTGAGACTGAGGCTGGATCTACACTGTCATATAATCCTGATTATCAAAGCAGATAATCCACTTTAATCAATTTCAGAGTGGATTATAGGAGTCCACACTGCCATATAATCCAGTTCAAAGCAGATAATCTGAGTTTTATATGGCAGTGTAGATGGGTCCTCAGAGAGATGCAACTGAGATTATTATTATTATTATTATTATTATTATTATTATTATTATTATTATTTGTACTCTGCTTCTTCTCTCCACAAAGGAGACTCAAAGTGGCTTACATTCAAAGCATTTCAATGCAATTTACAACCTACAAATAGTAAACCAGAATTTAATATTAATGGTATTTTTAAAAAGGTACAGTTAAAATCAGTCAACACTGATTAAAAACAGATTCAAAGAAATAGCTTTGGTCCTCTTGTGTTGGCTATCTTCTTTCCAGTTCTTCCAGTTCTTAAGCCTCCCTTAGACCCCATTCTTACATTATTGGGAATCTGTCAATACTTGTAAGGACTAGAATCTTGCTTTTGGATATTATAGTGCAGATAAGGCACATATACTAACACTGCTCACTTCCCCCTGGATCTGAAGATTGATGAGGATAATGATGATGATGATGATGATGATGATGATGATGATGATGCTAATAATAATAATAATAATAATAATAATAATAATAGTGTGGGCGAGTTCCCCTTTGACGTGGGTGAGATATATAAACGTTGCCCTTTCCGAGGGAGTTTTTGCTTTAGGAAGGTAAGCAAAGTCTTCCTTTGATTGGTCGATAGCTCTTTTAACTCGGATTGCAGCTCTTATGCTCTATTTATGTCACCGGTGGAAAAACTGTGGTTTTGGGCTGTATAGTCATGCTCTAGCAACATTTTCTCCTGATGTTTTGCTTGCATCTGTGGCTGGCATTTTCAGAGGGTCTGTAATGCACCATGTACAGTGATGGCACTATATAAATGGTAATAACAGTCCTCCTCTCCAGGTGAACATGAGCGACCGCTTTGGACAGATTATGATTGATAACCTTCAGAGCCGGAGGTGCAGCCTGATCGGGGTGGAAGCCTGCCTGTCACTAGACACTCAGGTCAGTCCTTTCTTTGGGAGGTTTCCAGGTGGGGGCTTAGGAGAACGCCATTTCCCCCTATTTGTAATGGTTCTATAGTCAGCTTTGCTATGGAAAGTCTCTATAATGGGAGGTTGCCATTGCTTGAAGCATTGTCTGCTCTGTTTTCAAGCAGCACTTGCAGTGCTTTGAAATTTTTGTTGAGTCTTTTTCAACTCTGGGATTCTCTAGCCCTATTTCTCCATGAGCTTTCCACATGACTGGATGGCCATCTGTTGGGAGGGGTTGGATTGTGCTTTTGCTGCATGAAGTCAGAAGGGGGTTGAGCTTAGATGGTCCCTGAAACCTCTTGTAACTCTAGTGATACATAGATTGCCTATAAAGGTGGTGGAATTTCCTTCTTTGAAGGTCTTTAAACAGAAGCTGGGTGACCATCTGTCAAGAGGGCTTGGATTGTGTTTCCCTGTCTGGCAAAAAGGAGTTGGACTGGATGGCCTTTGGGGTCCTTTCCAACTCTAGGGTTTTATGATTCAGGCTTGATGGCCATGTGTCAGGAGGGATCAGATTGTGTTTCTCTGCCTGGCAGAAGAGGGTTGGACTGGATGACCTTTGGGGTCCTTTCCAACTCTAGGATTCTATGATTCAAAGATTGGGTGGCCACCTTTCAGGAGAGATCAGATTGTCTTTTTCTGCCTGGCAGAAAAGGGTTGGGCTGGGTGGCCTTTGGGGTCCCTTCCAACTCAAGAATTTTATGAAATCCCTCAGAGTTTGGGACGTTTTCTAAGCAGGCTTTTTCCCTTCGGCTTTGTCTAACTTAGACCCGATTGTCTCTAACCGCTCCCTCTTTAATCTGGAGAACCTGCCCACACTTTGTGTGTATGTCAAAACCTTTTTCCTTTGCAGAAGGAGCGCTTCCTGCAGAACGGCTGGGAGATGGCACACGCCATGGACATGGTGGAAGTCTACAATGCCCTGCCATCTGATGACGTCAAACGGTGAGTCCAGTGCCAAAGGGAACAGCAAGTCCCGTGCGGCCATGCCTCTTGGTCCAGTTCTCCCCTGCTGGTCAAGGCAAGTCGGGACAAGTCTTGCCCAGTTCAGCATTAAGCGACAACAAGGCGGTCAGTACAGAAAGGTCCTTTTTCCTGCAGCATATAAACAAGCCTAGACCAGCAATGTAGTTTTCCTGGGACCCTGAACTGAAGCCTAGAAAAAAGGACCTAAGTTCAGTTTCTGATCCCAGGTAGAGCCAAGCCATGAAATAAGAACTAATACTTTGTGCAAATCCTCATTGGATTTACTCTAGTTGGGAGGCCAATACATTTAAGACTAGATTTCAAATGAACAAACTTTATGATTATTGCAGCCACACTATTCTGTGTTAATATTTTATGATGATGATGATGATTATTATTTCTCAATGGGTTGGTAGTTGTGGGAATGGATGCCTATAGTGATATAAGTCATTGTTTTATCCTTTCTGAAGAAAGCGCTGCATTCAGCGCTGCCTTTTTTGTCTGTTTGCTGCAGGATCGAGGCCATTGAATTCCTGGACGAGAAGGAACTTCTGGAGCAGCTCATGCATCACTACTGTCTCTCCTGGGCTGCCAAAGACACCCAGGATTTGGGTAAGGCCCCCTCTGCTCTATTGTTTTGCGAGGGTCGGCATAATGGAGGGACGTCTCTTGGGGTCTCCCAAGGTGAGGGGCCTGAGGGCCAGATTCCAGTTTTGGAGACATCCAAGTAGTGAACAAGGCCAAAAATACCAGCTGCGGTTGGCTTACTCTGCCGGTCATTTATGCCTCAGGAGGGGCAATTCAAGCTATTCAGACAGGCAGCATAAAGGCCCCCATAGAAGCTGGGAAGCCACCATATGGAAGTCTAGTTGGGTCTCTTCTTGGAAGGAGCAGAGGGATGGATTGAGAACCCTGCCCTGGAGTCGCTTTATGTTGATGTTTGTAATAGAGCATCCAGAGTGATGGGAAAATGCCTACCTCTTTAAATGGCCATTCATCCCAAAGGAGTCTGACAAGATAGTGGTCTGTGCCAATTCATCTCTCTGTTTGAACCCTGTTGAACCTCAAGTTGCAAGGAGAGGCGGGATTATTATTGTTATTATTATTATTTCCTGGATTACAATTTAAGAGTTCTTTTCCAAGGCTGCAACTGTCACAATTTCTAGCTCTTTGTTGTTGTTGTTGTTATCTTTGTTTATACCTTGCCTTTTACCCTCATGAGGATGCAAGGTGGCTAAGAATCCCACACTTAATCACGTTTAAAAAGTGCAATACAAAAGTTTAAAAAACAATTAAATAGTAATAGTGTGATGTTATTAGCCAGAAATTGTACAGTTACAATCCTGGAAAGTAACTCCCTTAAGATTTAGATATAGATGAGTGTTCGGGCTGCCGTTGTCCACAAACACATCTGATCAGCATTTTGGATGCCAAAATGACCTAAGTCACATGAGTCAAAATCAAGGCCTTTGAGGTGAATCCATCCCCCCATGTCCTTATATGTGGCCCACCAGATGCTTGTCTGTTGTGTTTCTCATCCGTAGACATCAAGACTAGAGCAGGTGGAAGTTGGGATGCAGGAACATCAGGGAGGCTGCCATTTGTTCTCTTGAGTCAGGTCTAGATTGAGATCCAAGGCTTGTGGGTATATGATGCCTGGCGTTAACATGTCCTCCACCTCCTAGCTACATATGCTGTTGGGCTGCAATCCCCATCATCCCCAATAATAAAAAGGGATGGGAGTTGTTGCTCAGTAACATCTGGAGCAACAAAGTAAAGGGCAAAAACTGCTATGTAAAAAAAACAAAACATAGTTACCCCTCTGTCTCCATTGATTCAATGGCCCTTTGAAGGCAACCCTAATAAGGGTGAGGTGGCCCTTACTGGAAATACGTTGGACAGCTTTGACCTTGATCCTTCTCTTCCTCTTTCCATCCCAATCCTTCAGGTCTCTTGGACATCACCCTATAATGCCTTTTGTGCCACTTGAAGCCGATGCTCCTCCTTCACTGACAGCACTTTTGGGGAAAAAAACCTACAGTGGGGCCTTTTCAGGTGCAGCCCTCTCACTCACTTCCGCACTGAAACACCCGGCAGCCCCATTTTTGTGTCTGAACAAAAGGACCGTTTTTTGGTTGGCAGCCGAGGTCCAGAAGAGGCTCTCTTGCAAGGACCTGTAGGATGTTTTTTCTAGTTTCTCTCTTGTTTCCTTAAGTTATTATTGTGAAGTGAAGTGTGAGCAAAAGGAGGAACTGGTGTCCATGTCTCACTGAAGAGTGGACTGGGAGGAGCAGAAGGGTCCGTTGAGTGGCATGGCTGCCCCAGGGCAGCCATGTTGGGTCCATCCCCCCTCTGTGTGCCTCTGGCCAGCCATCGCAAGGAAGGACAACCCCATTCTCCTGCTCTTCACCATTTGGCGTTGGACCAGGACTCTCCCTCTATCCTCAACCGCCCTCTCCTCCGGCCTCTCCATCAGGGGTTAATAAACAGTGGGTTTTTTGTAATTCAATGTCAAAGTGCCTTCTTTCAGCTTCTCCCTCAATCCTTTGGGTCTGAAACCACAAGAACAGTCCTCTGGAAGTGGTTGGACTATTCACTACCAGGATTCCTTATTCGCAAAGGAATAAATATTCTAAAACATTTTGGAGATTAGTCAAGAAAATGACAAGAAAACCCTGGCATTGGTAAGAATCGTGACAGTGTGCAAAACTACATTTTTGTACACAGAGAATGGTGGGGAAATATCTTTTTTGTCTGCATAGGAGGTGTTTTCTGGACAAAAAAAACCCTACTTGCATCTTCTCTCCCCCATACAATATTTCTTCAATTCTGAAATGCACTGTTTACTCACATAAACATATCTAAAATGAGATGCTTCCTAGATTTGAAAGTGTATGTGCTTTTTGTTGTTGGTACTGAAATTAGTGTTCCTCTTGCAATGGATCGCATCATACAATTTGAGAAATACAAAGAATCACAAAGATCCTTTGCAACTGCACATTTCTCCATGGTTTTCTAGCATTCATAAGGATAAACCTCTGGGAAATGGCCCACAAAATCCAGGGGGTGTTGGGCGATGCAGTCTATCAATGTCCAAAGGGCTCCGATTTCCCACAGCATCCAGGCCCAGCTAGGATTGATTTGCAGAATCCATGCGCTTTGCATAGGCAATTAGGCTCATTTTGTCTAATCGAAACTGGATTTGGGCTTTAATTAGCAAGGCTCAATTAAGAGTGCATGTTGTTTCAGCCCAGGCCTTGTTTCTCGATCGCCACTTTGGCTTGTCAGCTTTGGTGCATCGACCAGATCTTTATTCCCAATCCTTGCAAAGCCAGGTCCTTTTGCTAATGATTGAAAAACACTTTGTCAAATTGACTTGACTTTTGATTGTTTCCTTTTTGTAAAAATACCATTTCCCTCCCCTTTTCGCTTCCCACCTGCAACCGGCTTCCATTGTCTCTTTCTCTTTTTTTAGCAATATGTTCTGCAGGAAGTTGACCTTCTCCCCTCCATTGTTTCCCGAGAGGCATTTTTGCCAAAGGTTGGCATGCCGATAAAACCCTTTCTTATTTGAACAGCAGGCAGCTGAGGCCACATTCCCCCAGATTTTATCGGCGGCGTTCCTTCGTTTGGATGGAGGAGGTGGCACATTTCTCAGCTGACGGTTTGGTCTTGTTAATCTCCTCAACCTCAATTTATATAACTTCGGAGAGGCCCTCACCTCTTGAAGGAAGTACAACATGAAATGCGGACACCTTCGCTTCTGGTTATATAGTGTTATCTCTCTATATAGAGGCTGCAGCAGACAGAAGTGTGCTTAGCGTGGGGCAATAAGAGGCCATCCAGATATAACCCTTCGATGTCTTATGAGTACATTATGTTCCTCTATGAACATTTGTGTTCATTTTTAATTACATTTTATTTAGAAGTAGGAAGAAAAGCATACAAAGAAAGCCTATGTGTTGTCGAAGGCTTTCATGGCCAGAATCACTGGGTTGCTGTAAGTTTTTTGGGCTGTATTTATTTATTTATTTATTTATTTATTTATTTCGTGTACTTCTACCTCGCCCTTCTCAACCCCTGAGGGGGGACTCAGGGCGGCTTACAAACAGGCACAGTTCGAGGCCTACACAGTAATACAGATAAGATATAGACAGCAATTAAAAACAGTTATAACAGTATAACTGTTATAACTGTTTTTAATTGCTGTCTATGGCCATGTTCCAGAAGCATTCTCTCCTGACGTTTCGCCTGCATCTATGGCAGACATTCTCAGAGGTTGTGGGGTGAAAGAAAGCATATTTTCATAATATATCACACTACGACATGGTATGAAACTAAACACTAACTTAACATATCTATGCAAATATATTATTTCAGTTGTAATATGCTACGGATTGTAAGGCGCATTCTCATTTCAGGACCAATGAGAACAAAAATACATAAGACGTACCCCATTTTCTGCAATGTTTATATGGGAAAACATGCGCCTTAAAATTAAACAAATACAGTAACTTAAAAACAATTCTATGAACCTCATATTCCAGATAATACTGTATAACCGCACTTCTGTATTTGACATTCCTCTCCTCCTAAAGCCAAGTTCAGGCAAATATGGCCAAAGTTGGGTGAAGCCGAACCTGATGCGGAGGAAGAGCAAAACAATACAACATCTCACCCCAAAAGAATCAGTGTGGTGCAATGTTTTGACCATTGGACTTATTACTTTGGGAAGTAGGATTCGAATCCTCAGTTACGGAAATGCACTGGGTGCCCTGAGAATGTCATACTCTCTCAGCTTCAGAGGAAGGGAATGAGCCAATCCTGTCAAGAAAGCCCCATGAGGGGATGGCCCCTTAGGGTCACCATAAGTCAGAAATGGCTTGGAAACCCACAAAGGCGCCACTGATAATGCCCTGATTAATTGCCACTTTCAATAAAACAATGCTCTAGATTTTGTTGCATGAATCTGAGCATCCAAAACACAAAATGCTGTGGGTTCTGTTGTGTGAAGAGCATCTTATATTTTGGAAGGGAAGGTGCCGTTTGCCTTTGCGTTTGGGGATTGTGTGGTGCCAGCCGCAGGTAGACTGGGATTTGGGTTGCCATGGCAAAGCAAGTGCGGAGGTGCCCCCCCCCCTTCCAAAAGCATGCGCCAGCTTTGGCTTCTATCCCCGCAAATCCATTCTGACAGCTTTGCCCTCTTTCACACTTTTGTGTGTTTTTCTGTTTTGTTTTTTTGCTCTGAAGCAACAGCATCTAAGCTCCCTTCTCTGTTGCCTCCAAGGGCTTTTCAAGGAGACGGGCTTTGCTTCATCCTTGTTCCTTGCATCTTAGGGACTCTTCGCTTTTTCTGGTGTCTTTGGAGCAGATCCGATGCTCGAAGGGTTTTGTTGGCAGGAGAAGCAGCAGCGCTCTCCCCAAACCCTGCTGCTCTTGTTGCTGCTAAATCTCAAGTTTGCAGAATTTTCTGCTGCTTTCCCTAATCCATCTCTCTGTCTGTCTGTCTCTTCTTTTTGCCTCTCTCCTTTTGCTGGGAGCCCCTGTACTTAACCAGCTACGAAAATAGCAACACTGCAGAGCACGGCGTCCCCAGCAAAACTCTGCCTTCTGCAAAGCCTGCATTACATAATTCCTGGGAAAAACATCAGAGGCTCTTTTTTGGGCCTCTCAGAGGCTCAGGTTTCGAGGAAGGCAGCGGAGGCTTGTGCATTGTCCTTCTGAATGTGTGTTTGTGCATGGAATGCACACACGCACGCTGCTGCAGATGAGAGGGAATTCTATGCAATGAAACTGCAATGAAATGCAAACCAGGATAGGAGTCAGAATGAAGCCGTTGCTCCTCGTGTTGGCTCCTGGCACCGAACCCCAAAAAATCCATGGTTTATGATTACGACATATCCAAATTGTGTATGATAATTGAGTATCACATATAGTATCACTGAATATGATGGATAACGTTAAAACATATCCAAATGATACACAATAACAGAGTAATATTTCATCCCTGGTGTAAAATGGCAATCCGTGGAGGATGTAAAATGGCAATCCGTACAGGGACCTGGCACCAAAGCCCAACAAATTCAAAAGGCCCACTAGATATGCATATAATTTTATGCCCAAATTATATATGATGCAAAGTCATATGGCATCCCTGGTATACAAGGACAAACCATGGAGGGACCTGGCACCAGATACCAAGGGCCCCATATAGGATTAATAATGTTATGGCATACCCAAATTATATGCAAGAATGGAGCAATATGGCCTCCCTAGAAGAAAGTGGCAATCCATGGAGGGATTTCACCATCAAATACCAAGGGCCAACTATATAGAATTATAATGTAAGACATATCAAAGGATACAATGGTTGAATAATATGGCATCCCTGGTATAAAATGGCAGCTGAAGAAGAGAACCTGGCACCAAACCCCAGTGCCATCCCTGGCATAAACCGGCCATCCATGGAGGGATCTGGCACCAGATACCCGGGCCCCTCTATATATGATTATAATGTTAAAACATATCCAAATTATGCACAATGGTGGACTATTATGGCTTCCTTGTTGTTAGAAGGCGATCCATGTAGGGACCCGGCACCAATAAATTTTCTTTCATCCCCAAATTTCTGGCAAGGAGTTCGCATAAAACTTCAGCTTTTGGAAATGCAGTTCCAAAAGGATACTGATGAAGTGAGAAGCATCCAAAGGGAAGAGATGAAGATGGGCTAAGATGGAAATCAAAAGCCCTATTTTCGGTTGGTTTAGAGATCTGGGTGCGTTCATCCTAAAGAAGAGAAGGCTATGAAATGACATGACAGCAGGAGGGAGGCTGTCTTTAAATAGCTGAAAGGATGTCAGGTAGAAGAGGATGAGGCAGACTTCTTTTCTGCTGCTCTGGAGACAAGAACATGAAGCAACAGATCCAAATGACAGGGAAAGAGATTCCACTCAGAACATTTTCTGACTGTAGGAGTGGATCAAAAGTGGAATGAATGGCATCTTGGAGGGTGGTGGGCTCTCCCTCTTTGGATGTTTGTAAAGGGAGGTTGGATGGGCATCTCTCTGGAGTGCTTTCGCTGTGTCTCCACAGTCCAACACAGAGCAATACTCGCTTGGAAAATTCCACTTGTATTTATGGCCCGCTGTAAAAAAAATCTATACGTTTCATAATAACACCTGTAAATGTTCATAGGGATCCCATAAACAGGCCTATCTGTCGCAAGGTTTGTTCCTGAGATCTCTCTCGCGCTCAACACGGGTTGTGTAACCTTCGAAACCCAATAACAAGGCCCAAGATAAGGCTGGGTCAGGGGAGTTTGGCCTTCTTTATCACCCTTTAAAGCAGGGACTGTGTCAATTATTATCCTGGGAGGAAAACCCTGGAATTTCACCAGCCAGAAGGCAGGGAGAAGGGACATGGGCCTCCCAACACTAATGAATGAGGAACAGGGGCCTCTGAATGCTAGTGAATGAAGAATGTGGCTCTCTGAACCCCAAGAAATTAGGAACATGGGTCTCTGAACACGAATGAATGAGAAACACGAGGCCAATGGAAGAGGAACATGGGCCTCTGAATACTAATAAATGAGGGTCTCCAAACGCCAATGAATGAAGAACACGAGTTTCTGAACCCCAATGAATGAGGAACATGGGTCTCCAAAAACCAATGAAGGAGGAACAGGGGTCTCTGAACACTAATGAATGAAGAACATGGGTCTTTGAACCCAAATGAATGAGGAACATGGGTGTCTGAACCCCAAAGAATGAGGAACATGGGTCTCCAAACACCAATGAAGGAGGAACACAGGTCTCAGAACACCAATGAATGAAGATCACGGGTCTCTGAACACCAATGAATGAGGAACATGGGTTACCAAACACCAATAAAGGAGGAACAGGGGTCTTTGAACACCAATGAATGAAGAATGTGGGTCTCTGAATCTCAATTAATGAGGAATATGGGTCTCCAAACACAAATGAAGGAGGAACATGATTCTCAGAACACAAATGAATGAAGAACATGGGTCTCTAAAGCCCAATGAATAACGCAGGTTTCTGAATACCAATGAATGAGGAATATGGGTCTCAAAATACCAATGAATGAGAAACAGTGGTATTTAAAAGATAATGAACAAGGAACATGGATCTTCAAATACCAATGAACGAAGAACATGGATCTCTGAACACCAATGATGGACGAACATGGGTTTCTGAACCCCAATTAACAAGGAACATGGGTCTTCAAACAGTAATGACCAGGAACATGGAATTGAAGCACCAATGATGAATGGACCTGGGCCTCTGAACCCCAAGTAAAGAGGAACATGAATCTCTGAATGCCACTGATTGAGGAAGATGGGCCTCTGAACACTGTGAAGTCACTGGCTTTTTTTTTTTTTTTTTTTGTCGTGTCAGGAGTGACTCCTGGTGCGAGAGAATTGGCTGTCTGCAAGGATGTTGCCCAGGGGACGCCTGGATGATTTCATGTTTTTATCATCCTTGTGGGAGGCTTCTCTCATGTCCCCGTATTAGAAGCTGGAGCTGATAGAGGGAGCTCATCCACCTCTCCCCGGATTCGAACCTGCGACCTGTCGGCCTTCAGTCCTGCCGGCACAGGAGTTTAACCCACTGTGCCACTGGGGGCTCCATAAGTCACTGGCTGAGGAACATGGGTCTCCAAATGCCAATGAACAAAGAACATGGGTCTTCAAACCTCAATGAAGAAAAAATATGGCTCTCTGAACACCAGTGAACCAGGAACATGGGTCTTTTAACACAATTAGTTGAGGAACACGTGTCTATAAACACCAATGAACAAGGAGCATGAGTCTTCAAACAGGAATTAACAAGGAACATGGTCTCTAATACCAACAATGGATTAACATGGGACTCTGAACACTAATAAATGAGGGACACCAATGAACAAGGAACATGGGTCTCCAAACACCAATGAATGAAGAACATAAATATTTGAACATCACCGGCTGAGGGATATGAGTTTCCAAATATCACTGGTCCCATGAGAAACATGGGACCCTGATACTCTCATTGAGGGTCTTTTGTCTCTGAACATCACTAAACAAGGAACATAGGCTTCTAAACACCATGTATAAAGAATCATGGGTCTCTGAATATCTTTCATTGAGGGGACATGGACCCCTGAATACTTTTCTGGATTACATAGTTAATTGATTTTAACAAGCAAATTGTGGTCCCAAATAAGAATTTTTCCTAGCTCTAATTCTGGGCACACATTCCCCAGAGGTCTACAGAATACAAATCCCATCACCAATTCCCTATATTGGCTAGTGGATGGTGGGAACTGATACACACTTAGGTGGGCTTTGACGAGTGTAAAGGAAGGTCCTCCCTGGACCACAGAAGAGAGCCATGGCAGTTAGAGTGGAATAAAAGCACTATAACTCCATCATTTGGATGGGTCCAAGTAGTAGCTATCCCAACATGCATGGAGACAGAAATATTTGCAGGCCAGATTCCTCCTGAGTCCATCCATAAAGCGGGAGCAAAGCGGAAACTCACACACGCAGCCCATGAAGCCCAAATCAGAGCAGCTGGCGACCTGATGCCCAGGGGATGGCAAGCTGTCAAGCTCAGAAAAGAGGCTCCTAATTAAACCATTGTTGGCATTAACGTAGGCGGACGGCATTCCCTTTGCATCCCTTATCTATGCTGCTGCGGAGGAGGAAGGTGCCATTTCTGCAGAGGGTTCGCTGCCCAGGTGAAAGGTACGGAGGTTTTGGGTGGCCCTTTGGAGCCTTCAGTTCCCTTTGGAGTCTTGGAGTTACCCTTAGAGTCATGGGAGACATGGGGTCACCCTTCGGAGTCATGGCTTCACCATTTGGAATAATTGGGCCACCATTTGGAATCATAGAGCTGCCCTTTGAAGTCATGGTGGGGTTCCCTTTGGTGTTTTAGGGTCACAATTTCAAGTCTTAGGATCACCGTTTAGAATTGTGGTCTCATAGCATTATACAGTATAGACGTACCCTTAATATGAAGCATCACTGCACTAATCAGAGCCCTATCCAGCTAATCCAGTTAGGGATGATGGGAGGTACATTCCCACGGTATTTGCGGTGTTGTACCTTTCTTAGGGCCTTTCCACACAGACCTATATCCCAGAATATTGAGGCAGAAAATCCAGTGTGGACTCAGATAACCCAGTTCAAAGCAGATATTGTGGGATTTTCTGCCTTGATATTCTGAGATATAAGGCTATGTGGAAGGGCCCTCTGTTTTTCCATTACCAATAAGGTATCTAATCTATCTCCAGCAGATGGAATGCCAGTGGGACGACTACGTAGTTTCCTACGTCACTTACTTGTTTTCTGGTGAGAACATACAGGAGTTCCGATATATTGCTCTTTGTGTGCCTTAAAATTAATTTGCGATCTATTTGTAAATACGGTATCGGCTGATACAGGACCGGACCCGCCGGCTTCCTAGATCCTACAACAGTTATTTGCTTAGGAGATAAAGCAACAAACCCACATTGTCTATCGGACTTCCTAAGGCAGGCCTATGCACCATTATTTTGCAATTGTTCCTTAAGTCCACACCCAAGAGATTGGGTTTTGACTCTGATTGGGAAGATATTAAACCAGAGTGTGCCTACACCAGGTATGGGGAAACGTGGGTGGGCCCTCCAGGTGTTTTGGACTTCAACTCCCAGAATTCCTAGCAGCCTCAGGACCTTTCCTTTCCCCCCTCAGCCGCTTAAGCGGCTGAGGGGGGAAAGGAAGGGGCCTGAGGCTGCTAGGAATTCTGGGAGTTGAAGTCCAAAACACCTGGAGGGCCCACGTTTCCCCATGCCTGGTCTACACTGTCAAATGAATGAGGATTCGGACTACTTTAACTGTTATGGCTCAATGCAATGAAATATTGGGAGTTGTAGTTTCCTAAGGTGTTTAGCTTTCTCTACTAAACTACACATCCCATGATCCTAGATGGGGAATTCTCATATTTTATTTTGAAAGTCAGGAGTGTTGACCTCCTTGCGTCCTCCATTTTCTAGATCTTTATTTCCATCTTGATCCATCCAAAGAAAATCCCTTCTTGCAAAGGGGTCTCCAAATTGTATGCCATTTGGATCCATAGACTCATTGGAACCGCTTTGAGTCGCCCAAGGGCTGAGAAAAGCGGTATATAAATGGAGTAAATAATAAATTGGAAGGATCTCCAAATGCTATCTAGTCTGACCCACTGCAGAATTGACCCCTTTCTTGATGTGTTGTGAAAAATCAATGCATTTTACGGTTATAATGTTAAGACATATTTTTATTTCAGTCTTCATCCCCTCCACCTGAATGAATATAACAGTCTTGCAAAAGGATCTTGGGATTGCAATCCATTTAGATCCAGAGAATAATTGGAAGGGACCCCAAAGGCCATCTAGTCTAACTCGTTACAATTGTCCGCCACTTTCTTCTTGTGTTGTGCAAAACCAATGTCTTCTAAGATTGCATTGTTAAGACATATCCACTTCAAAGGCCATTTATTAAACAGACTTGGCATTCTTTCTGTGTCTGTTGGCAAAGCCTCTCCACTTTTTGCAGAAGAATCATAGCAGATCATTTCCCCCCATTTTTCCTCTCCAAATGGAGCGGAGGCCTCTTCCTCTCATATTATAAAAGAAGCATAAAAGTCTCCCGTCTTTTGCAGGGCTTTCCATCATCAGGATGAGAAAAGGCCAAAGCGACAGCCACAGGAGCCCTAAGAGGCTGGCGGATGAAGGATGAGAAGCACAAAGGGAGCGATTTGTCTTGTCTCTCGGTTTTATGACCAGATGAAGGATGATGCGATGTGTTGGTCTCATTATAGGGCATTTGGGGGGGAAGGCCATATAGGGCATGCCAGGAAGAAGTGGGGGTCTAGAAATCCCTGAAACGCGTCTCTTTTCACTGCTACTCTGCATCTTTTCAGGCTGCATTTGCACAAACTCTGAGTGCTCCTTGCTTAAGAAAACCCTATGAAATGGATGGGGCTGCAGGTGACTTGAAAGCCCACAAAATTTGGCTCCGGTCCTCCCAAATGCTGCAATCATTAATTTTCAAAGCATAGGTCCCTTTGGGATTGTCACTCCCAGAATCCCTCTCTGGTGGATGCTAAGACTGGCAGTCCAAGAAGAAGAAGCATCTCCAAACTCAGAAGGACTTGCACGGAATCCAAGGTACTTTAGGCTATACTGTATTTTAGAGGAAGACATTGACAATGTCAACAAGTGAGTTGATGGCATTCATGTATATGTATATGTATTTGCATATCTCTGTATGCCTATCTATGTATGTGCATGCGTATATACCACACACACATACCAGTTATAGAGTTTCTTCTCATATATCTATATCTATAGCTATCATAAATACTCGAAAGGTATTGGATCCCATCTGATATTGACAAATTCAGCAAGTGCGTTGATGGCATGCATAGGTATATGTGTATATCAATATATATATGTATACATGCACATATACGTTCCAACAATAGAGCTTCTTTTGTATATATAATACTACTTCTACTTAGGTGATCCCTTGTTGTCCGAGTAGGATAATCTTCCAGGGTGGGTCCGTAGGTGACTATGGAGCTCTTATTCTTGATCTGCATCTTCTTCCGCAGTGAGGGCATTGGTTACCAGGTGGAAGGCAGTCCCAGTCGGGGTTGGCTTGGCGTGCCTTCCTCTTGGCATGTTTCTCTCTTTCGCCCTCCATTCATGCCTCTTCAAATTCTGCAGCACTGCTGGTCACAGCTGACCTCCAGCTGGAGCGCTCAAGGGCCAGGGCTTCCAGTTCTCAGTGTCTATGCCAGAGTTTTTAAGGTTGGCTTTGAGCCCATCTTTAAATCTCTTTTCCTGTCCTCCAACACTCCTTTTTCCATTCTTGATATTATAAATAAATAATATAAATGTTTGTTTGTGGGATTAACATAACTCGGAAACCACTGGACAAATTTACACCAAATTTGGACACAATACACCTATCAGGCCAACAAGTGACCATCACTCATAAGAACACTGAAAAACACAGCAGAAGAGACTTAAAAAGCCAAAACCCAAAAAATACATTAGAACGCATGCACAAAACCACAAATATATATGCAAACACACATATACACAAATATATACAACATATACACAGGCTAGGCCACAGCAATGCATGGTAGGGGGTGGCATATATATATATACATATATCCTGCTTATCAGATTCCATCTGGTATTGACAAAGTCAACAAGTCAGTTGATGACATGCATATGTATACATGTGTACATGTGTGTGTATATATATATACACATGCACATACACACACATTACATATCAATGATAGAGTTTCTTCATTCATATGCACACACTATATATGTACACACATATACATATACATATCATAAATATCCTACAGTTATAGGGTATTTATACCCACACACACACATATATAACCCTAAAGGTATCAGATCCATCTGATCTTGGAAGCTAAGTAGGCTTAGCTATTGTTAAGATTTGAATGGGAGACCACAAAGGAATACAAATGTCCATAGGAAAGAACTGGAAACCCCCACCTCCAAGTGCCCTTTGCCTACGAAAACCCTAAGAAATGCATGGAGTGCCTACAAGTTCTTGAAGGCACACAAACTCTTATTCTTCAATCCCTTTTCCTGAAATGCTGCAGGCTTGAACTTCCAGAATCATGGGGAAATGGGCCTTTTTGGGCTATTTTGAGTGTGTTGCAGGAGTCCAAAAGGAGGAACATTCCCCAAATCCAAGCAGGCTGTTCACAAACACCAGGCCTTATTTCAGAGGAAGGACCTGGCAAATTCATCTCGGTCTTTCCCTTGCCCAAGAGAACTCTATAAAGTTCTATGGGGTCCCCATAAGTTGATAGGGCAATGTCTCCCTCCAAATGGCCTTCGCCTTATAGTCTAATAACTAAGCCTTCTCCACAACCGACAGGGCAAATAAAGGTCTTCCAGAATTTAAACTTTAAGAACAACAAAGTTCCTGGATTTCCTATCTTTATGGCAGGCATCAAGGGTTCCTGTTGTTGTCGCCAAAGCAGATATGAAATTGCTCCTGAAGGTCACACTAAATCACAAACGGCACGTTTCCAAGCCTGAGTCCCCATCATTACATGTAACAAAATCATATAGTGCAGGCATATAGTGCAGGCATGGGCAAACTTTGGCCCTCCAGGTGTTTTGGACTTCAACTCCCTGAGGGGGGAAAGGAAAGGGCCTGAGGCTGCTAGGAATTCTGGGAGTTGAAGTCCAAAACACCTGGAGGGCCAAAGTTTGCCCATGCCTGATATAGCACCATCATAGAATCACAAAGTGGAAAGAGGCATCCAAGGGCCATCCAGTCCAACCTCATTCTGCCAAGCAGGAGGACACAACCCATTCCATCCCGGCAGATGGCCAAGCAACCACAGAGACATTTGCAGATTCATGGAGAAAGAGGGATACAGAACCATAGATTTAGAAGAGACCACAAGGGGTATCCAGTCCAGTCTCCTTTCCGCCTTGTCGGAAGACACAATCCAAGCCCTCCTGACAGACGGCCAGCCGGTCTCTGTTTAAAAACCTCCAAAGAAGGAAACTTCACCAGACTTCCATTCAGCAATTGAATGTAATTGAATGGCTCTTATGGACAGGAAGTTCATCCTATTGTTTAGGTAGATTCTCTTTTCTTGCAGTTTGAATCCACTGCTCCATTGAATCCTAATCTCAATGGAGATTAGGACTCAATTGCCCCTTTCTCAATGGGACATCCAAATATTTAAACCTGGCTCTCATGCACATCTATATAAATAAAAATGTAATGTTTGTTTGTGAGATTAACATAACTCAAAAACCACTGGATGAATTGACACCAAATTTGGACACAATACACCTCTCAGGCCAGTGAGTGACCACTACTCATAAAACACTGAAAAACACAGCAGAAGAAACTTAAAAAGCCAAAAACAAAAAAATGCATTACAACGCATGTGCAAAACCACATATATACACAAACACACATATATACACATATACACAAATATATGCATATATGCACACACAAAACACATATACACAGACTGGGCCACAGCAACGCATGGCAGAGGGCAGCTAGTATTTAAATAAATTGGGGGACTCAAAGCTTTTCCTCACAAGCCCTGCTTTGGAATGGCCCAATATAAGACCTTCTTTAGAGCCCTGCAAGGAAGACCACAAGGATAAGGCTCAAGGGCTGCTGTGAGTTTTTTGGGCTGTATGGCCATGTTCCAGTAGCATTCTCTCCTGATGTTTTGTCTGCATCTGTGGTTAATGGCATCTTCAGAGGTCTGCTGGAAATTAAGCAAGTGGCGTGTATATATATCTGTGGAATGGCCACCGTGGGAGAAAGAACACTTGTCTGTTTAAAACAAGTGTGAATGTTGCAATTAGTAAGCTTGACTACCATTGAGTAGCCATGGAATTTGCAAAGTCAATCAGTGAGGGTATCTGCATAGAGGTAGCTTGGCCTCTGTTGCCTGCAGGCATCCTCTGCTTGGGGAGTTATAACTCTGCCCTTAACTGTGTGTTGTTTGGCGTTCTCTTGTTTCTGAGTAGTGTCCATTATTTACTGTCTTGATTCTGAATATTCTGGACAGCTCTGACAACCATTATGTCAGACTACATAGAGAAGCCATTGAAATACACAAGCATGTGAACAATTTCAACAGAATGGAGGAAACCATGAAAATGAACAAAATTTGGCTACCAGTATTAAAAAAACACCAGAATCAAGACAATAAAGAACACCACTCGGAAACAGGGGAACTCCAGATAAGAAGCGATCAAGAGCCAGTTTACACCTCCAAAGCAGAGGATGCCTCCAGACAACAAAGGCCAGGCTACCTATTTTTCAGATACCCTCACTGATTGACTTAGTGGCTACAAGGCTCCTCAGTAGTATTTAAGCTTGCTAATTGCAACATTCACACTTGCTTTAAACAGACAAGGGAACTTTCTCCCACCTTGGACATTATTCCACAGATATGAGTCCCTTAGAGGAGGTAGGGCAGGTTATAAATAAAGTTATTTATTAATTATATTATTTAGTAGCTTGGGGACCTGGCACTGCCCGGGTTATTTGAGAAAAGAATTGTGTATCAAGGTTGGTCTTTATCAGTTATTTATATGGCTTGCAGTGGTCTCAGGAAGTTAGTGAAGGTACTGCGGGTCCCATCATCTGTGGTCCATCCTCCTCCAAACTGCACCAGGATGGAGAGTGGGTCATGGGGGCTCTGTGTGCCAAGTTTGGTCATGATCAGTCATTGGATGAGGGTCGCAGTGGTTTCAGAAAGTGAGTTAAAGTACTGCAAGTCCCATCATCCATAGTATGTGTCCCCCCAAACCTCACCAGAATGTTGAGTTGGCCATGGGGGCTCTCTGTGCCAAGTTTGGTCTTTATTGGTAGTTGGATGAGTGTTGCTATGTTTTCAGGAAGTGAGTGAAGGTACTGCAAGTCCCATCATCCATCATTTGTCCTCCTCCAAACAGCACTGGGATGTAGAGTGGCTCATGGGGGCTCTGTGTGTCATGTTTGGTCTTGATCGGTCATTAGATGAGGGTTGCAGCAGTCTTGGGAAGGGAGTGGAAGTACTTGAAGTCCCATCATCCATGGTCTGTCCTCCTCAAAAGTGCACCAGGATGTAGAGTGGGTCATGCGGTCTCTCTGTGTGAATGGTGGTCCTGATCCATCATTGTTGGCAGTTGTAATGGTCTCAGGAAGGGAGTGCAGGTATTGCAAGCCCCATCGTCCATGGTGCATCCTCCTCCAAACCACACCAGGATGTAGAGTGCGTCATGGAGACTTAGTGTGCCAAGTTTGGTCTTTATCGGTAATTGGATTAGGGTTGCAGTGGTCTCAGGAATTGAGCGAAGGTACTGCAAATTCCATAATCCATGGTCCATCCCCGGCCAAACCACACCAGGGCATAAAGTGGGTCATGAGAGGTCTTTGAGCCAAGTTTGGTCTTGATCAATCATTGAATGAAGGTCACAGCGGTCTCAGAAAGTGAGTGATGGTACTGCAAGTCCCATCATCCATGGTCCATCTTCCTTCAAACTGCAGTAGGATGTAGAGTATGTCATGCGGGCTCTGTGTGCCAGGTTTGGGCTTGATCAGTCATTGGATGAGTGTAACAGTGGTCACAGAAAGTGTGTGAAGGTACTGCAAATCCCTCAGGCCCTTTCCTTTCCCCTGTCATCCACTTGAGATGACAGGGGAAAGGATTTATTTATTTTAATACTAGCTGTACCTGCCACGCGTTGCTGTGGCCAACCTTCCCTCCTTCTTTCTCTACTTTCTTTCTCTCCTTCCTTCCCTCCCTTTTCCTTCCTTCCTTCATTCCTTTTTTTCTTTCCTTCTGTCCTTCCTTCCTTGTCTTCCTCTTCCCTTCCTCCCCCCCTTTCTTTCCCTTCCTCTTTCTTCCTTCTCTACCTATTCTTGGACTGCAACTCCCAGCAGTCCTCCTGATCAATCAATCTACCTACCTACTACCTACCTACCTACCTACCTACCTACCTATCTCTATCTAATCTATTTATCTGAAGGATTGCTGGGAGTTGCCGTCCATGAATAAGAAATTGGAAATATGCAAAGATTGGGATGTTCTCAAAGAAATCCAAGGAGAAGAAAACTCCCATCTTGGAAGCAGTGCATTTGAATCCTCCTCTCCTAAAGGGCTTGGTCTAGGAGATGTTGGGAGCTGTAGTCCGGAAGAGAGTGTGGATATACTAATGTGTGTTGGGGGGGGGGGGTCATTTTTGTGCATGTGCTGTAGCATCTTTTTGCTTTTTTGGCTTTTTAAGTCCCTTCTGCTGTGTTTTTCAGCGTGTTTATGAGTGATGGTCACTCATTGGCCTGATAGGTGTCTTGTGTCCAAATTTGGTGTCAATTCGTCCAGTTTTGAATTATGTTAATCCCATGAATGAACATTACATTTTTATTTATATATACACTCCACTTGTTTCACCGCCAACAGAACCTCTGAAGATGCCATTAGCCACATATGCAGGCGAAACATCAGGACAGAATGCTACTGGAACATGGCCATTCAGCCCCCAAAATTCTCAGCAACCCATTGATTCCGGCCATGAAAGCCTTTGACAACACATAAGGCCCAAGTTTTGCCTTTTACCAGCCAGGCTTTATGGGCTTTCGGGTGCCAAATGGCTAAACCCAGCCGCCCTCGCCTTTTACAAGCTGCCCTTTATGGAACAACAATAAATGCTATTATAGTCATTTATTGTGTTGATTCGTCTATAGAGGTATAGTTTAGATTTTGGCAGGGGAAAAAAACAACGCTTAATTTACACCTGTATGGCTGGCATTCCTGCGCCCGGTTGGCAAGCAAACTTGGCTCACGGCTCTGGAAAAAGAAATAATATCCTTGACCTATAGATTCTCACCAAGGAATAAACAGCTTTCCTCCCACCCTCTCTCTCTCTCTTTTTTCCCCTGGCCTTTACAGCAATCTTTTTTTCATTTCTCTCTCTCTCTCTCTCTCTTTTTATTCCCCCTCCCCTTTTTTGCCACAGGTCAGAGAGGGAGGGTGCCAGTATTGGGCCGAGATAAGGAGGCTCTTTCGCCAAGGAAGGGCCATTCTGCCAAGAAGCGCAGGACAAAAAGGACGCCTCTCTGGACGCTCAAGAAGGAAAGAAACAATAAGTGACCACTGATGACCAGCAAGGACCTTGAGGTGAGTGGCCAATGGCAGCCAGCATTCACACCCAGAACCTTCGCTCGGCCAAACCAGCGTGCAAAAGAGCATGCTAGAAAGTGCAAAGTTCGCCTTTTGGAAGAAAGTCGTTTAACATTTGCCCAAGGGTATGTCTACAATGCCATAGCTCCGTGCTGTGGGAGTTGTAGTTTGGCAAACTCCATAGCCTTCTCTGGCTGCATCCACACATGGCATCTGACACTGCTTTAATTGCCCTGGCTCGGTGCAACAGGATCAAAGGGAATTGTCGTTTGGCTATACGGTCTTGAGACTTCTCTCACCGGTTCTACATTGTGGAGTGAATGCAGATGGATGCTGCTTTAATTGCAATGTCTCAGTGCTATGGGAGTTGCAGTTTTGCAAGGTCCCTAGCCTTGTCTGGGTGCACCTCTAATGTAGAATTAATGCAGTTTGGCACCACTTTAATTGCTATGGCTCAATGCGACAGGATCCTGAGAGTTGTAGTGTAATCCATAACCTTCCTCTGTGGAATGAATGCAATTTGGAGGCACTTAAGCTGACACTGCTTAATGCTGTGGAGCCCTGGGAGTTGTAGTTTTACAAGGTCTATAGCCTTCCTTGGCTTTATCCACACTGTACAATGAATGCAGTTTGGCACCACTTTAAGTGCCATGGTTCAGTGGTATGAAACCCTGAGAGCTGTAGTTTCACAAGGTCCATAGTCTTCTCTGGGTGCATCTCTGCTGTAGAATGAATGCTGAATGGTACCTCTTTTATTGCTATGGCTTAGTGCTATGGGATCCTGGGAGTTGTAGTTTCACAAGGTCTATAGCATTCCCTGGCTGCATCCACACTGTAGAATGAATGCAGTTTGGCACCGCTTTAATTGCCTCAGCTCAGTACTATGGGATCCTGGGAGTTATAGTTTCGCAAGGTCCATAGCCTTCTCTACCTAAGAGTACACACTAGAAAAGTCCTGGGATTCCATAGTATTGTGCCAAGACGGTTAAAGTGGTGTCAAGCTTGACTTATTTGTTGCACCCTATCATCGCACAACAATCCCTTTGAACTGCCATGGCTTAATGTTGGGAAATCATGAGACTTATAGTTTCACAAGATCCGGAATCATCTCTGGCTTAATGGTAGGGGATTGTGGGATTTGCAGTTTTGCAAGGTCTCCAAATGTCTTTTCCTTGGATCAGTGTTAGGGAATCATGGGAGCTGCGGTGTTGCAAAGTCTGTATAGCTTTCTCTGCCAAAGAGTGCTGGTGCCTGGCTAAACTATAAATACCAGCCTTGGATAGCATGGAGCCCTGGAAAATAAAACACATGGATTCTGCACAGAATTCAGACTATTTGCCATTGTGTTATCATCGCTGTTCTAATTTGGAACTCCATGCTCCACCAACCAGAAGTACTTGGCAGCTGCTCTTCGAAACCAAAGTCTTGGCTAGGTGTATTTTTGACTAATCGGAGCGCATTATTATTTTGAGCTGGGTGCCTAATGCGCCCCCCTCTCCTTGGCATGTAAGGCTTCGTTTTCAGAGGGTGGCATGTGTTGGTCTGTGTGGGCAGGACAATGGGGGCATGGCGCTGCCAAGGACTTGCTCCATGTTCGGGACCCACCGATCTAAGAGCCCAAGCAAGGTGTCGAAAGCCCCATTGTCCCAAGCTGAAGATTGCATTCCTCTGGCTGCCTGCGCTGGATACAAGCCAGGGCTGGAGAAGTTACTTTCGGAAAGTAATTCAGAAGGGAATTCGTTCTGGGTTCCTAGAATCCTAGAATCCTAGAGTTGGAAGGGACCCCTAAAGGCCATCCAGACTGATCCCTTTTGGCCACAAAAAAGGCACCATTAGAAGGTTCATGGGGCGATAGATTCCTAGAGTTGAGTGGGACACCCAAAGGCCATCCAYTCTGATCCCCTTTGTCCATAAAGAAAAGTGGTTCATGAAATAGAGTGATAATCAGACCCTAAAGTTGGAAGGTACCTTTAAAGGCCATCCAGTCTTACCCCCCCCCCCCCTTGGTCATAAAGAAAGGCACCATTAGAAAGTTAATGGAGAGAGCTATGGAGCTGCAGGGTCCCAAAGGCCATCCAGTCTGATCCCTTTCTGCAAGACAGGAAATACACAATTTAATCTGCTGCTGCTTTTGATGCTGCTATTGTTGTTAGAATGTTTATTTATAACCCACTTTTTCTCTCCACAAAGGAGACTCATGACAGATGGCCATCCACCCTCATAGGCATTAAAAGGTTAATGGAGAGGAATGGGGCTATAGAATCATAGAACCCTAGAGTTAATACGGATCCCCAAAGGACATACAGTCCAGCCCTATTTTGCCGGGCATGAAAGACACCATTCAGCACTTTCTGTCAGATGGCTAATGGGCATTAGAAGGTTCATGGAGAGAAATAAGGCTATAGAATCATAGAACCCTAGAGTTATGAGGGATCCCCAAAGACCATCCAGTCCAGCCCTGTTCTGCCAGGCAGGAAAGACACCATTCAACCTTTCCTTACAGATGGCCATCCAGCCTCATAACCATTAGAAGGTTTATGGAGTAAAACCAGATTATAGAATCCTAGAACCCTAGAGTTGTTAGGTACCCCCAAGGGCCATTCAGGCAGGAAGGATCATCCAACCCTTCCTGACAGATGGAGAGAATCATAGAACCCTAGATTTGCAAGGGACCCCCAAAAGCCATTCAGTCCAGCCCTATTCTGCCAGGTGAAGGAGGTGGAGGGCTTTGTGAAAGTAAATAATAATAATAATAATAATAATAATAATAATAAACAAACTACTTTGGGTTGTTGTGAGTTTTCCAGGCTGTATGGCCATGTTCCAGAAGCATTCTCTCCTGACGTTTCGCCTACATCTATGGCAGGCAAAACGTCAGGAGATAATGCTTCTGGAACATGGCCATACACCCCAGAAAACTCACAACAATCCAGTGATTCCGGCCATGAAAGCCTTCAACAATATAATAATAAACTTTATTTATACCCCGCCCCTTCTCTCTGAAGGAACTCAGGGAGCTTACAACATGGATAAGTACAATAAAAATACATAGAAAAGAAAGAATAAACAAAAAATAGACCACTCACACTTTACAACAGGGCTGGAGAGAAGACAGAAAGGGATCTCTTTGGAAAAGCTCCCTAGGGCATTTGCAGTAGGTCACCTAAGATCTGTGACTCTATGTTGAATATCTCTTATCCAAAATGCTGCCAGAAGTTGACCATAAAGTCGTGCTGTAAGATCTCAGGATTCATAGCGAGAACTCAAGGAATCTCTAGGTCTTCCAAGGCAACTTTAGAAGGAGAAGCATATAGTTCAATGTATTCACCTGCATTTTTGGTACACCTCCCAGGATTCCATTGCATTGACCCAAGGCCTTTGTCTTCCTTTTTTCTTTCTTTCCTTCCTTCTAGAAGAGTACCACGTCAGAGGTGGAGTGTGGGCAGATGTCCATCAAGGACCCAGAGGCAGAGGGCAAGGCTGGGTCCCAGAGGGCCTCCTGGTTCGAGCGCTGCATCCAGCCTTGTGTCGCAGAAGCGGTGGGTGCCGCCTTCTTCATCTGCATCGGGTGCGCTTCGGTCGTAGAGAATGTGGAGGGCACTGGGCGCCTGCAGCCGGCCTTGGCCCACGGACTGGCCTTGGGCCTCACCATTGCCGTCTTAGGAAACATCAGGTGAAGCAAGTGAGCCGTGTCCCATCATCCCCTTCCCCAGATGTGCCCAGATGTTCTATACTTCCCTGCAGCCCCTATCCCCTATAGCAGCCACCATTCTAATAGTGTGGGCGAGCCATTCCCAACTGCTGTATGTGTTCTGTTGAAATACAATCTTGGTTGCGAGACACACACTCATTTCAACAAAAACCACTGAAAATTCTATATATGCATATATACATATATATGCTCTACACACACACACACACACACACACACACGTGTGTGTGTGTGTGTGCGTGTATACCAGGTAAGGGCAAACTTCGGCCCTCCAGGTGTTTTGGACTCCAATTCCTAACAACTGGTAGGGTCATCTTAATTAATATGTTAACACCCCCAATGGATCTGTCACCCAAATTCCCTTTTAGCCCATTCTTTATGGACTAAAATCTCTAGGTTTTTCCAGAGCAAAAAAAAATCTATTGAATAAATACAGTAATTGAGAAAACATTCCTATAGATGGGCATTGGAGGCGTTCAGTGAACCCAGAGGAGACTTAGGCTGCATCCACACTTTGACTTCTAATAAATTTCCGGTCCCAATACAAAGTGCAGGTTATCACTATAAAGCCCTAAATGGTTTGGGACCTGCCTATCTTCATGATCACATCTTCCCCTATGAGCCAGCACATACTTTAAGATCATCTGGGGAGGCTCTTCTCTCGCTTCCACCTCCCTCACAAGCTTGGTTGGTGGGAATGAGTGCAAGGGCCTTCTCTGTAGTGGCCCCACAGCTCTGGAACTTCCTCCTCAGGGAAATCAGACAGGCTCCCACTCTCTTCATTTTTTAACACTTTAATAACCAAAGGACATTTGCCCTCTGATTGTCGCACTTTCCCTGGCTCTACTTAGAATTCATTGCCCTTAGTAATTATGAACCGAACCCAGCACTTTATTTGCTTTGCAATGATATTGTTTTTAGTTGTTTTTATAATGTTGTCTGATTTTATGTTTATTGATGTTTGATATTGCTTGTTTTTCGATGCTTATTTTAACCTGTTTTGTTGAGCATGTCCCTTTGTGAGCTGCCCCAAGTCCCTTTGGGGAGATGGAGCCGGGGTATAAAAATAATAATTATTTATTATTATTATGAAATAAATGCAGTTTGGAAACATGATGGATATGGGATCCTGGGAGTTGTAGTTTGGCAGGTTCCATAGCATCGATCCAGTGCAGTTTAAAGTAGTGCTAAATAGCATTCCTTCTACAGTGTCGATGTACTTTTAGAATCAGGAAGGAAGGCCATCTAGTCCACCCTTTGCCGAAGGCCATCTAGTCCACCCTTTGCTCAGTGCAGGAATATGGACTGACCACAGGTTCTTGGAAATCTCCTCTATATTGAAAAATGTTTCTCCTATCCCTAATTGTGGCTCCTGCAGAGGATTATCTTTTGCAAAAAAGAGATCGCAAAATAGATCCTTTCCAACGTCATTTTCTCAGAAAGATGGCGTCCAGATGTCCTCCTTCCCTGCCATCAAGACTTAGAAGTGTTGTCCAGTTGGCCTCAGCCTCCGTCAGCATTTTCCTATCACATTTTGGGAAGGATCCTTCCCAAAACACAGCGGCAGCAGATGGACACAATCCCTCTCTAAGCTCCCCTTGTGATGCATATCCCTCTTCCTGATGGAAGAAACGGACGGTAATTATCAATAACAGGACCAAATGTTTGCAGAGGCCTCTTCCACCCCTTCTTGGGGATTATCCAAGTGCCAGTGACAACCTTGCAAAGTAGAAACTAGATGTCTGGCCCAAGTATGCACAAAATGCTCCACATTGCAAAATAAAATACACTGATAAGAGAATGAAGTTGCATCCACACTGTGGAATGAATCCACTTTGAGGCCACTTTAATTGCTCTGTTCTATAAGATCCTGGGAGTTGTAGTTTTTCAAGGCTGAACTAGAACTCTCAGGATTCCATCGCAGTTAAACTGCACCTAAGGCCCCAGCATTCTTTGGCAGGAAAAGCTAAGGACCTTGTAAAGCTATCGCTCCCATGACACCATTGCATTGAAATGGGGTCAGACTACATTCAAACTGCAGTTTAGAAAAGGCATGGGTAAACTTTGGCCCCCAGTTGTTTTGGACTTCAACTCCCACAATTCCTAACGGCCAGTAGGAAGGGCCTTCACACAGTTAATGCTTGTGCGCCAGCTGCGACCGTACCTCGAAAAGCCAGATTTGGCCATCGTGCCTTAGTTACATCTCATATGGATTACTGCAATGCACTCTACGTGGGGCTGCCCTTGAAGATGGCTTGGAAGCTTCAATTAGTGCAAAGATCTGCAGCTAGGCTGCTGACTGGGGCAAGTTATAGAGAACATATGACCCCACTATTAAAGCAGCTTCACTGATTGCCTATTTGCTTCTGGGCCCAATTCAAAGTGCAGGTTATAAAGCCCTATATTAGTTATTCTCAACCTTCCTAATACCACCACCCCTTAATACAATTCCTCATGTTGTGGTGACCCTCAATCATAAAATTATTTCTATTGCTACTTCATAACTGTAATTTTGCTACTGTTATGAATCGTAATGTAAATATCTGATATACCAGATGTATTTTCATTCACTGGACCTAATTTGGCACAAATACCCGATATGCCCAAATCCAAATTTGAATACTGGTGGGGTCATTTGGGAGTTGTAGTTACTGGGATTTATAGTTCACTTACAATCAAAGAATATTCTGAACTCCATTAACGATGAGACCTTCCTGTGCAGAATTCAGAACTCTATTAATGATGAAATTGAACCAATCTTGGTACACAGAACTCCCGTGACTAATAGAAAATACTGGATGGGTTTGGTGGGCACTGACCTTGAGTTTTGGAGTTGTAGTTCAGCTACATCCAGAGAATACTGTGGACTCAAACAATGGTGGAGCTGGACCAAACTTACCATAAATACCCAATATGCCCAAATGTGAACACTGGTGGAGTTTGGGGAAAATAGGCCTTGACATTTGGGAGTTGTAGTTGTTGGGATTTATAGTTCACCTACAACCAAAGAGCATTCTAAACCCCATCAGTGATAGAATTGGGCCAAACCTCCCACACAGAACCCCCATGATCAACAGAAAATACTGTGTTTTCTGGTGGTCTTTGGCGACCCTTCTGACACCCCTCGCGACCCCCCCCCCCAGGGATTCCGACCTCCTGGTTGAGAACTGCTGCCCTATATTGTTCGGGTCCTGCCTATTTACATGACCACATCTTCCTTCATGAACCTGTTCAGGCTTTAAGATCAGCTGGGGAGGCCCACCTCTTGATCTCACCTCCATCACAAGCAAGGTTGGTGGGGACGAGGGAGAGGGCTTTCTCAATAGTGGTCCCCTGGCTCTGGAACGCCCTCCCCAGGGAGATCAGAGAAGCAGCCACCCTCAAGACTTATAAGAAGGACTTGAAGACCTGGCTGTTCTAACAAGCCTTTGACTATGATTAGTTAATATCCCCTTAATATGGACAAGGTATTTGCTTTATGGACATACCAGTATTTTGACTTGGGTATAGGAATCCATTGTGTTTTAACTAATGTTTTACATTGTTTGTTTATTTATTTATTTACAGTATTTATATTCTGCCCTTCTCACCCCGCAGGGGACTCAGGGTGAATTACAATGCACATATACATGGCAAACATTCAGTGCCATTAGACATACAACATATATAGACAGAAACAGAGATGATTTAACATTCCAGTTTTTCCGGCTTCATGAAGATATGCTCAATTCTGGCCACAGGGGAAGCTGCCATTTCACTCTCCACTTGTGACACCGAGTCCTTGATGAAGTACTTCCTCATTCTTACACACACTGCTGGAAGGTTTTATGGAAGGTTTTATGGTGTAAATTAGTTAAATTAGCCTCCCTGCATAAAGTGGTACCTAAATTTCCTACTTGACAGGTGCAACTGTCTTTCGGGCTGCATAGGTCAATAACAAGCTAGATTGTTAATGTTCGGGAGCTCACTCCAACCCCGGCTGGCTTTGAACTCATGTCCTCTCAGTCAGTAGTGATATAATGCAGCTGGCTACTAACTAGGTGCGCCACAGCCTGGTTTATTGTTAATTTGTCTATCTTGTTTTATTTGTTCTCTCTTTTATATTGGCTTGTCATGTTATTATCTGCCTTATTTATCTTACATGTATTATTCATTGTATCTATGTCTGTTGTAAGCCCCATTTGGACAACACCCACTTGCAGAGGTTCAGATTGGCTTAGTCTCCTCTCCCTTTTTCCTTTGCAGCGGAGGCCATTACAACCCGGCTGTCTCCCTGGGGGCCTGGCTGGTCGGAGGCCTGGACATAATGATGGTCATCCCCTACTGGATCTCCCAGCTTTGCGGGGGGCTGATCGGAGCTGGATTGGCCAAGGTACGAGGGTCTCCAATGGGGAAGGGAAAGTGTGTGCTTCCCTGAATTTAGGACACAGACACCCCCATCCACAACACAGAATTATACTGCTATGGTTCCACTATAGTAGCATGCCCCTTGGCACCTTGGGGTTAGCATTCATTTCCAACATAGGGCAACCCTATTTTCTGGGGCTGAGGGAGTGACTTTTCTAAGTCCACAATGGTTCAAACAAGGAATTGAACCCTCATCCCTAGTCATCGTCCTGGTTTCAACTGTTTCATCATAAGATGATGATAATGATGATGATGACTTTATTAATATTATTTATATTATCATCATCATGGGGTTGTTGTTGTTATTGTATACCCTGCTTTCATCTTTGGAAACCAAAACCCAAAGGGGCTACACAAGAGGTTCTTAGCTGCCTTCTAGGCCCCTTCTACTTCCATATAATCCAAATTATCAGGGCAGCTAATCAACATTATCTGCTTTGAACTGGATTATATGATTCCACACTGCCCTTATCCAGTTCAAAGCAGATAATCTGGGTTTTATATGGCAGTATATTTGTATATTTTAAATTGTATAGTAATGCTTTTATGTCAAGCTGCTTTGAGTCCCCTTTGAGTATAAATAAATATAACAACAACAACAACTGTAGAAGAGGCTTTCGTAGGATAGAGAGGGCTATTTAGAATTCTCAGCTGAGAGGTTCTAATACCTTAGTTGAACTACACATTCCAGAATGCATTACACTGCAGTCATGATAGTTAAAATGGAATTGTAGTGCTCTAAGTATTCTATGTGCCAAGGCCCATTCTTTCATCTGTATTGGAGAATGGAAGCAGTTTGGCATTATGTTAACTGCCATGGCTCAATGCTTTGAAATCTTGGGAGCTGGAGTTTGACAAGGTCTCGATCCTTTTTTTTTTTTGTCAAAGACGCGAAACAGTTCATATTAATTAAAGAATGCAGATTAGAATTCACTAGATACAAACATTAAAATAATCATACATCAGCTGAACTCATTACAGCCACTTTAAATAAGCAAATTACCATAAAGTGCCCCATTGGCCCACTCTTAAAAACTTTATTCTAGTGTCAAACTGAATTAATTCTTGAGTCTCAACTAAAGCCAAACCTCAGAGTTAATGGCATGGATCTAGTTAGGATCTCAATTCACTGGCAGTGAGGTAATAATAATAATAATAATAATAATAATAATAATAATAATAATAATGTGGCACCTAAGACTTGGCTTTCTTTGGGATCGGCTCTTCACCTTGTTTGGCTCCATTCATATCCGCACTCACAGAGCGGATTCACTGCCCTCTTGCAAGGAGATGCCAGTGAGGGCCACTCTTCCTCAAATCACATACAAAGGTCCAGCGTCTATGCATGTGGAATAGTAAATCATACATGCCCCCTTTGCCTTGTAGGCAATGACGGACAGCCAAAGGTATGCCAATGCTTCTGGAGGGGCCTTCACGACCATTACCTCTGATGACCAGCTCCCAGCCGCAGTCATTGCGGAGATCGTCATGACCATGTTCCTGGTGATGGCTGTCTGCATGGGAGCCATCAATGGAAAGACCAGGGGCCCCTTGGCCCCCTTCTGCATCGGCTTCTCCGTCGCGGCAGACATCCTGGCCGGGTGAGTGAAGCATCACAGGAACAAAATATTAATACTAATACTAATAATAATGGGTTGCTGTGGGTTTTTCAGTCTGTATGACCATGTTCCAGTAGCATTCTCCCCTGACGTTTTGCCTGTATGTGTGGCTGGCATCTTCAGAGGGCTGTTGGAAATGAGGAAAGTGGAGTGTGTATATATCTGTGGAATAATGTCCAGGGTGGGAGAAAAAACCCCTGACAGTTTGAAGCAAGTGTCAATGTTGCAGTTAGTAAACTGATTACCATTAAGTAGCCTTGCAGCTACAAAGTCAATCAGTGACGGTATCTGCATAGGTAGCCTGGATGTTATTGCCTGGAGGCATCCTCTGTTTGAGGGCATTAGAATCATAGAATCATAGAGTTGTAAGAGACCTCATGGGCCATCCAGTCCAACCCCCTGCCAAGAAGCAAGAATATTGCATTCAAAGCACCCCTGACAGATGGCCATCCAGCCTCTGTTTAAAAGCATCCGAAGAAGGAGCCTCCACCACACTCCGGGGCAGAGAGTTCCACTGCTGAACAGCTCTCACAGTCAGGAAGTTCTTCCTCATGTTCAGATGGAATCTCTTGTAGTTTGAAGCCATTGTTCCGTGTCCTAGTCTCTAAGGAAGCAGAAAACAAGCTTGCTCCCTCCTCCCTGTGGCTTCCTCTCACATATTTATACATGGCTATCATATCTCCTCTCAGCCTTCTCTTCTTCAGGCTAAACATGCCCAGATCCTTAAGCCGCTCTTCATAGGGCTTGTTCTCCAGACCCTTGAACATTTTAGTCACCCTCCTCTGGACACATTCCAGCTTGTCAATATCTCTCTTGAATTGTGGTGCCCAGAATTGGACACAATATTCCAGGTGTGGTCTAACCAAAGTGGAATAGAGGGGTAGCATGACTTCCCTAGATCTAGACACTATGCTCCTATTGATGCAGGCCAAAATCCCATTGGCTTTTTTGCCGCCACATCACATTGTTGGCTCATGTTTAACTTGTTGTCCACGAGGACTCCAAGATCTTTTTCACACGTACTGCTCTCGAGCCAGGCATCGTCCCCCATTCTGTATCTTTGCATTTCGTTTTTCCTGCCAAAGTGGAGTATCTTGCATTTGTCACTGTTGAACTTCAATTTGTTAGTTTTGGCCCATCTCTAATCTGTCAAGATCGTTAAGTGGCACTTGATTGTTTGCTCCCTGTAGTTCTTCTGTTTCTGAGTGGTGCTCTTTATTTACTGTCCTGATTCTGGTGTTTTTTAAAATTCTGGTAACCAGTTTTTGTTCATTTTCATGGTTTTCTCCTTTCTGTTGAAATTGTCCACATGCTTGTGGATTTCAGTGCTTTTCTGTGTAGTCTGACATGGTGGTTGTTATTCAGTTGTCCAACATTTCTATGTTCTCAAATAATATCCTGTGTCCAAGTTGGTTCATCAAGTGCTCTGCTATAGCTGACTTTTCTGGTTGAATTAGTCTGCAATGCTTTTCATCCAAACAGAGGATGCCTCCAGGCAACAGAATCCAGGCTACCTCAATGCAGATACCCTCACTGATTGACTTTGCAGTTTCATGGCTACTCAATGCTATTCAAGCTTATTAATTGCAATATTCACACTTGCTTTAGCCGTGCAACTACAAAGTCAATCAGTGAAGACAAGGTTTCTTTCTCCCACCCTGGACAGTCCACACACACACACACACACACACACACACACCATTTCCAACAAATCTCTGTAGATGCCATTAGACAGAGATGCAGGCAAAACTTTAGGAGAGAAAGTTATTGCAACATGACCATAGAGCCTGAGAAAGTCACAGCGACCCAGTGATTCCGGCCATGTAAGCTTTCAATAATAATAATAATAATAATAATAATAATAATAATAATAATACAAGATGCAGAGTTACAATACAATAGAGGCTGGTGCCTCTGTGGTTGAGATGGGGGCTTTACTGCTGCTTTGAATGGAGTCTGGTGGGCAATGCATGGGGTCTGATGTCCTGCTTTTCCTTTCTCCACCTTTCAGGGGCGCTGTCTCCGGGGCCTGCATGAACCCAGCCAGAGCCTTCGGACCCGCAGTGGTGGCCAACTACTGGGACTACCACTGGGTCTACTGGGTCGGCCCCATGGTGGGCGGGCTGCTGATGGGTGCATTGATAAGGTGAGTGGACCAGGAATGGGTTAATTTGGGGCCAGGGTGGCTAGGAAGAAATTGAATGGTCCCTTTGGGGTGAAGGTTGCAAGGAGAAACAGGGAAGGTCATTTGGGGTGAAGGGTGCAAGGAGAAACAGGGGAGGGTTATTAGGGCGTTAAGGTTGCAAGGAGAAACAGAGGAGGGATCATTTGAGATCAAGGTTACAAGAAGAAACAGGAGAGAGGCCATTTGAGGTCAAGGTTGCAAGGAGAAACAGGGTAGGGTTATTTGGTTGTCAAGGTTGCAAGGAGAAATATAAGAGGCATCATTTGGAGTCGAGGTTGCAAGGAGAAATAGAAGAGGGAGAGATGATTAGGAGTAAAGGTTGCAAGGAGAAATAGAAGTGGGAGGGGTCATTTGGGGTCAAGGTTGTAAGGAGAAATAGAAAATACATCATTTGGAGTCAATGTTGCAAGACGAAACAGGGAAAGGGTCATTTGGAGTCAATGTTGCAAGGAGAAATGGGAAGGGGTCATTTGTGGTCAAGGTTCCAAAGAGAAAAGGGAAGGGGTCATTTGGAGTCAATGTTGCAAGGAGAAACAGGAGAAGGGGTCATTTGTGGTCAAGGTTACAAGGAGAAGCAGAGGAAGGGGTCATTTGTGGTCAAGGTTGCAAGGAGAAACCGGGGAAGGGGTCATTTGGGGTCAAGGTTCTAAGGAAAAACAGGGGAAGGGGTCATTTGGGGTCAAGGTTCTAAGGAAAAACGGGAAGGGGAAATGGGGAAGGGGTCATTTGGGGTCAAGGTTTCAAGAAGAAACAGGGAAAGGGGTCATCTGGGGTCAAGGTTCCAAGGAAAAACAGGGGAGAGGTCATTTGGGGTCAACGTTGCAAGGAGAAAAGGAGGAGGGTCATTTGGGGTCAAGGTCTCTCATCCAGGCTCCAGTTCTAATTCTGTACAGGAAAATCTCATAAAGCGCCAGCTCAGCCATACTCCGTTTTCATTCTTGCAGGTTCCTGATTGGGGACAAGAAGACTCGTCTTTGGCTCAAGTGAGATCGCCTTCTGGTCTCCCTCTCCTTGCCCTCTCCTTCCCGTTATCCATCTTGGCCAAACTTGGGACACTTCCATCCCACTGGAACAAGAATGAATCAATAAGACTTTCTTTCTATCATACCCTATCTCCCCAGTGGAAACAGGGCACAACAGACCTTTCTCTGGACTCACTGTTTTCTACCATTCCTCCTGTGTTTATTATTTATTGCATGAATAAGGACAAAAGGTGCAGAACCGAGTGCTGCTAAAGGGGCAAATACCTGGAAAAGGGAAGGAGTTTTTCTTTTGGTTACTTAAATATGCATTTTGGACCAAAATGTTACAATATAGAAGGGTCTCTTGTTGCTCCACTTCCTGTGCCAGTTTTTTTCCCAGAATCCTTTGCTGTGGTGTCCTCCCTAAGAAAAGAATGGGAAATTAGCACACAAATCAATGAGACTTTCCAGGCCAGTACTGTCTTTCTTGGCTGGAATCACTGGGTTGCTGTGAGTTTTCTGGGCTTTATGGCCATGTTCCAGAAGCATTCTCTCCTGACATTTCACCTGCATCTATGGCAGGCATCCTCAGAGGTTGTGAGGTCTATTGGAAAGGGACAATAAACTAGGCAGTTAGGGTTTACCGTCCCTTTCCAGGGATTTCAAGTCTAGAAGCAGAGACCAATGCTGTGATGTCATAAGAGGCCAGTGATGTCACAAGGGTGATGTCATAGATGAGTACTCCCTGGGGAGATGTCAAACATCAAAGATGTCTAATGCAGGAGATGTTAAGCATCAAACCCAGTTTGGAGAACTAAAAATACCAGGAAGAATGTGTGTGTGTATACACACACACACATACACAATATATATTTGCAGGGTAGTGCTCTTGCCCAGAAATTCCTCCCATTTCCTTTGAAAACCAGAGAAAAGGCACTTTAGGTTTTCCAAGTGTTTGGAAAAGAAGGGACTTATGCAAAACTTGAAGAAGGACTGCAGCTCCCATTATGTGAAACCGTAGTGTGGTTAGAGCTACTGGGAGTTGTAGTCCAACCTCTGTGCATTCCCAGCAAATTGCAGATTTGCAAGCCCTTTGCTCTGGACTATTGGGGCTGTTGCAGACTGACGCTTCCAGCATCCTGTACCATCAGGTTGATGGGGCTGATAATCTTAACAATAGAGTTGCACGATGCTTATTTCTTGCAGCGCTGGGTTGCAGTCCCCAGCTTTGCGTTTGGAAACAGGACAAGCGAGCACTGCAAGAAACAGGAACCAGGCAACTCTATTATTCGACTGCCTTTTGCTGGACTGGCTGCAAAAAGGCACAGTCGGCAGGCCCTAATAAGGTGAACCAAAGCGGAGGCGGTGGACGGAGGCCGTAAATCATCCATTTGTGACTAATGGAAGTCCTGGACACACACACAGACACAGGCAAGTATGTACCATCCACATCTCTGAGTCTGAGAAACTGCAGGCATTTAGCAGACTGGCTACAAAGCTACTTTAAAAGAGCCTCAAATCTTCTATCCTTCCTTTTTTTTGTAGGATTGCATATCCCATCATTGTCCCCAGTCAGACTTCCTAGGGGGAACGACGACACTCAGGGTCTCTGGATTCATTTGGTTAGTCCCATAAATCCATGCATTATTGGTGGACTATAAATCCCAGGAGCTGCCCAAGGCATCTACATGGTGGAATTAATGCTATTTAACTGTTATGGGAGCTTAGGGGCTATTGGGCAGAGAAAGTGAAAGACCTCATAAAACTACATCTCCCAGGATCTCATTGCATTGAGCCATGGCAGTTAAAGTGGCATCAAACTATTAATTCTACAGTGGAAACACCTCAACCCAAGCACTTTTGCTCCATATAAGACCCTTCCAAATGCATGATGCTTGCTGATTTCTTTTCCTAAAGGAAAAGAAAAGGAGAAAAGAAGTTCAATCCTGCTTTAGGAAAACTTATTTTTTAATATCAAAGCAATGTAAAAGACAAATCAGTGCCCAAAAGGCTTCTATTTTATTTTATTTTATTTTATTTCATTGCAATTTGGGAAACCTGGAAGAATTGAAAACTCATTCCAAGGGGTCTGTTTGCAGCTCTTTTCACTTCTTCTGAAATACTGAAGGAAATCCCGGGGAAGGGAACGCAACTCTGCTGCAGGATTTTGGGGGGATCGCCATGGCAACGGCGCCTGCCAAGCATCTTCCTGCAGCGTTGGACTAAGAAGGGATGCCCTGCTCTCCCCTGAATAGTAAAATGGCATTGCAATGGGTTGCCAAAGAACATCTGCATTTCCATTGTGAGTGTAACAGTGTTGTATATAATGTGTTAGGCTTCCTTTCCAAACTATCTCACCCTTTGCTTCTAACCAGCTTCTCAAACCCTGCAGACCCTTCCAAATTCCTTCCACCCAATGTCAGCATTGCAAAAATGCCTTTTAGCCACGGGTTGGAAGTGCAAAAAGGAAAAAAATATATTGCAAGAATGTGATTAGTAAAACAAACTCAGCAATGCTTTCAGATGTGGAAGGCTTTGGGATCATTGCTGCAGTCATTCAAAGTCACACTGACCAAGGTTGACCCACTCCCAAGGTTGCTGCAGCCTTCCTCTGAGGCTGAGAATGTGTGACACCCCACCCCCTCCCATTTCCTTTCCTGGAAGAGATTCATACCCAGGATCCTAGTCCAACACTCAACATGATGGCTTCATGCAGGGTTTTCCTTGGTGAGACTGAGTTTCCCAAAGAGGCTTCACCTCACCCTGAGGTTGAGAGAGTGTGACATCCTAAGGTCCCACCCCCCAATGGATTTCCATGGCTGAGCATGGATTAGAACCCAGGTCTCTTGCTCTCATCATGGCTCTTGGCTTGTATCCATTTGGGCAACTCTTTCTTTTTTTCCATCAGTCCATTGGCCACAACTTTTATTTTATTTTATTATTTTACATGATATTTGATTGATTTAGTTTATGGTTAAGATGGCAGAAGCCTGTTTTCTGGTGCTGCCTAGGCGTCTTTAAACCATGATGCTGGATGGCCATCTGTTGGGAGGGCTTGGATGGTATCTTCCTACATAGCAGAATATCCGTCCATTGTTTTATTTTATTTTATTATTATTTTATTTTATTTTATTATTTTATGGTCAAGACGGAGGCTTTCTGGTGCTGCCTGGCAATCTTCAGACAGGAGTGCTGGGTGGCCATCTGCTGGGAGAGCTTGGATAGTGTCTTCCTACATAGCAGAATATTCATCCATTATTTTATTTTATTATTTTATGGTCAAGATGGAGGCAGCCTGCTTTCTGGTGCTGCCTAGGAATCTTCAGACAGGAGTGCTGGGTGGCCATCTGCTGAGAGGGCTTGGATGGTATCTTCCTACATAGCAGAATATTTGTCATTTTATTTTATTTTATTTTATTTTATTTTATTTTATTTTATTTTATTTTATTATTTTATTTATTATGGTCAAGATAGAGGCAGCCTGTTTCCTGGTGCTGCCTGGGAATCTTCAGACAGGAGTGCTGGGTGGCCATCTGCTGGGAGGGCTTGGATAGTGTCTTCCTACATAGCAGGATATTGGTCCATTGTTTTGTTTTGTTTTGTCTAGTTTTGTTTTGTATTGTTTTATTTGATTTCATTTTATGATCAAGATGGAAGCAGCTTGTTTGCTGGTGCTGCCTGGAAGTCTTTAAACAGAGGTGCTGGATGGCCATCTGTTGGGAGGGTTTAGATGGTGCATTACCAAACAGGGTTGCTGGATCCCTTTCAGCTCTAAGACCCTCAGTCTCTCCAAGAAAAATCCCAGGATTGGATCACCATCCATATAGGTATCGAAAGAGAGAAACGACAACAATCCAAGGAGCTATCCATGGTCCTGAATGTTCTTTCTACACTTTGGACTCTTCTCTCCAACTTTGGTCTCAGTTCAATGCCGAAACCTATTTGCACACGATGTTCCTAGGATTCACGCTGTTCAGTGAAAGCTTTCCTTTTCTCTTTGAGTCATTTTCGGTTCTGTTAATGACATTAGCAATTAAGAATCTCGGTTTGTTCTGCTTCATTTGCAACCATCTCCAGATAGGCAGAATCCTATCTGGAAAAGGCTTCTCCTGCTCCCCAAAAAGACTCAGACCCCCATCTAAACTGCCATATATTGCAGTTGAATGTCACATAATACAGTCCAATGCAGTTACACTGCTATATGAGTCCACATTGACCCTATAATGCAGGTTCAATGGGGTCTCAAAGGCCTGATCCAGCATGTCCAGGCCATATTGTGGCAAACGACAACTATAACAACTATAATATAATTAGTAATAATACATGGTAGATTCTGGATAAACGTGACTATTAAAAATAGACCCAAATCATCTTACATCCCATACTAGACCATACCATACACTCTGTATTGTTTTGATATCAATGTTAAAATGCATTAAAACAATCCATTAAAACAAAGACAAATGTGCCACACATTTTACTGTATTACAAAAACAGCTTCATGGATTTAACGTATTATTTCTTCTCTATACTTTTTGGCAGTTGCTTGAGAGTTCTGCATAACAGAGAGTCTATGATACATTCCTTGCTTTTATCTTCAAAGATTTACTAGTAAAATAGGCATAATATTATACCCCGTACTGCACCATTCCACCAACTTTGAATATTTAATACTAGTTTGGGTACCTGGTGTTGCCCGGGTTATTTGAAAAAGTTGTAGTTCACCCACAACATTATGCATTTTGTACATTTTTAATTGTACAAAATGCATAAGGTTGTGGGTGAACTACAACTGACACCATGCCAGGTTAATCCCAAGAAACTCCATCAGTACTTAAAGTCTGTTATGTTGGCCAAGTTTGCTCTAGATGCATCATTGGCTGGGTTCGGTGTGCTCTCTGGCTGCAGGGTAAACTACAACTCCCACTATGGCATGTCTGTCTCCTCAAACCCCTCCAGTAAGTTGAATTAGTCATGGGGGTTCTGTGTGCCAAGTTTGGTCCAGGTCCATCATCAATGGGGTCACAGTTTCTCTGGTTGTGGGTGAACTGCAACTCCCAGAAAGGATGGTCAGTTCTTCCCAAACTCCTCCAGTAATCAAATTTCAGCATATCAGGTATGTCTGCCAAGTTTGGTCCTGATCCATCAGTGTTTGGGTTCACAGTGCTCTCTGGATGTAGGTGAACTACAACTCCCCCAAATCAAGGTAAATTTTCCCCAGTATTTTTGCTGGTCATGGGTGCTCTGTGTGCCAAATTTGGTACAATTCCATTTTTGGTGGAGTTCGGAGTGCTCATTGATTGCAGGTGAACTATAAATCCCACTACCTACATCTCCAAAATATCCAGGCCACTTCCCCTCAAAACCCACCAGTATTCAAATTAGAGCATATCAGTTATGCATGCTAAATTTGATCGAGATTTATGATTGTTTGGGTTAATAGTGCGCTCTGGATGTAGGTGA